GTAGTTTGAGTATCTCTGTAGGGGAAATTCAGAGTTTGGGGGCTGATGCCTCATAAATACCACAAGATTGAAAACACGGGGCCTAATCCTGCCTTAGTTCCATGTGCCAGGAGCTGTGGAGTCAGCAGGACAGAACTGTACAATACTGGCCTGTTTTGTTTATGCAGATCTAAAATACAAATCCGAATGGATTTGCTCCTCTCTGCCTTGCCTCACACTTGGCTCCCTGACTTGGGAGTTTCACACTCTGCACAAGTGGGATTTGGCCCAATGATGGGTTTCCCCTCATCTCTCAGTAGATTTGTGGTCTAACACTCCAAGATGTGCAGCATAACACGCTGGCAATCTGTCACTCTGCTGGCTCCTGTGAGCTCCAACAGCTTGCTGAGGAAATGAGGAGCCAAAATAGACTCCAGTGTGACCGAGGGACTGGAGAAGCTCTGCCTGTCACAGCACAGGCATTCCTGCTCCACTTGGCTCCTCCACCAGCCCAGCAGGCTGGGACCAGCCCTGGGCTTTCCTGGTGGCTGTTGCAGCTTCTCATTTTACCAGATTTTCCCTCCTACTGCTGAGGTTGTACACTGTGTTCTCTCCCCTCCCTGGAGGACCCGTTCCCTTGGCACAGTGGCTGCCCCTGAACCCTGAGACTGCAATTAGGGCTCTTATCACTTGTGCCCACGGAATAGCTGTGGTTCCCTCTTGGACAAGCTCTGCATTCCCAGCACTGAAACCTCTAATCAGGCCGAAACATTGGCTTGGAACAGCTTGAAAGGGGAATTTTGCAACTCCGTCTGCAGCTCAGGAATTCCTGGTTTGGTTAGACTTGGAAGGCTGAAGTGCTGGGGATGTCTGAGCACAGGCTGCAGAGACATTTATTAGATCAGTGTCTGTTTCTTCAGGGGGACTTCAGAGGCCACAGGGATCCGTGGGCATGAAAGGATGTGGAGCCAGGGTCTTGCCTCACCCTCTGAGTGCTCTCCAGTAAGAAAGAGCACTTACAGTACTGACATTGCTGCTTAATCTGTACAATTATAAAAAATGAACAAATAATTGAGGATATAAACCAGAAAAAAGAGCCAGATTCAGTATAAGCCAAGATGCTGACGGAACAGAACACACAGATTCCTCTGCTCTGCAGTGGGGTGGGAGAAGAGCATACAGAGCCTCTTCCCAGGGTACTCACTGGAATCCAACCCACAACAGCAGTAAGTGATGGCCACAGCTGTGGGGGAAGAAGAAATGTGTTTTATCCCTATCTGTTTGTCTTTCTTGTGTTCAAATGCCTTCCATGAATATCTGAGCCAAAGGCAAGGGTAGCCTTGGGACCTGCAGAACTTCAGCCTGTGAGATGAGAGGATGACAAGATGAGACATTTGTGGGAAGCAAATTTAAAATTCACAAATGGAAAAATTCCAGGGGAAGCCAATGTCTCGGGACCATCCAAACAAGGAAGAGAAGCAGCACTGAATGACCAGCCTGCTCTGATTGTTTGTTGATTGTAGTACTTTTGGTTGTAACCACAGATCCAGGAATTAGCTGTGAGTGACTGTGGGGCAAAGAGCAGCAGAAACCACATCTCCAAAAGGGCAGCAAACAGCAGGCAAACCCACCATCTGAGATGTGCATTGAGGGATGCTCAGCCATAATTTTGGAAGGGTTTAGGAAATGCACTGGCAGGCTCAGTCCAGGATGTCACAGCCCACTGAAGCCCATCAGAAAGGTGCTCCGTGAAAAGCATGAAAACGGAAAGAAAAGTGAACCACTGCTGCAGTGAGAGGTTTTCTGCTGCTTCCCGTTCCAGGCTGTCTTCGTCCAAGGTGGCACCTGCCGTTCTCCCGGGTTGTCCTGGCAGAAACTGGGACTTGGAGCCTCCCAGCTCTGAGCGCTGTGTCTCCAGTCTATGAGCTGCGTTTGCCCTCTGCTGTTGACTGATGAAACTGTTCCCTCTGCGTGATCCAAAAAGGGGGTGTAGGAACAGCAGGATCTGGAGAACCAGAATAGTTACCCTCGAATTTCAAACACGCTTACAAATCGTGACACTTAAAGAAGTGACACCCCAGAAAGGGATGAGACTTTAATATACCTTTATATTATATTCTCAAGCTTTTCTTTGTAATCACAAAGATCAGAAACCTTTTTTTTTCTTTAGTTTTCATTTTTCCCTAAGTAAAAACCAAAAATTAAGCCCCTGGAGACCAGGGATTCAGGTGTGACTGAATCTCCCTGCAGAGAGCAGGATGAAAGGCTGGGTGAGCCCACAGAGGAAGGTGTGAGCAGAGATGCCCTGGAATGGCAAGAGCTGCTCAGCAATGAGGAAAGATGCCCTGGGCTGAGGGCTCAGGTGGCTCTCTCTGGTTTCTCCCCCTGCTCTGGCATCCCAGAACTGCAGAGCTATTCCCTCTGCCCTCTCCTGTAGCCATCCAGCCCTGGCATTGCCAGGATGCCCCAAACGCCCTGGAAAGGACACAAGGGCTTGTCAAGAAATCTCTTGGCATCTTGCCACGTGTTTGCAAGCTGAGATCAGCACTCGGGCTCCTCTTGTTGCTGTTTGTTTTCTCCCTGGCTCCCAGCAGCCTCTCCCTGTGCTGTGGCCACTGTTGCCCTGCACAGAGAGGCTCAAACAAAGGTGTGGCCAAATGGTTGAGGGGATTCCTCTGGGCTGGTGGGATTCCTTTGGATGTCCTCTCACTCCTCCCAGGACTCGTGGGAAGGGCAGGGACTGACCTGGAGTGTCTCTCCTGCGTTCCCAGCTGGCACCAGGGAGCTGGTGCCCGTGGATGGCTCAGCCCGGGGAAGGAGCAGCACATGGGATGTTCAGTGCTGAGATCTTCCTCACACCTCCCTTTGGAAGTGGCTGCTGGGCTTGGCCACTGTAGGAAGGCTGCAGATCATCTCTAAAGTGCTTTTCCACAACTCTCAGGTGGAGATTCTGTTCCATGCATGGCTGAGGTTTCACAAGGTAAGTGTTGAACTGGCTGTAACAGGGGGACACAGGAGGGAGCTGATTTTCCTGGCTCTCTGACCACACAGTCCCTGCCTCAGGTGACTCCTGAGCTCCCAGGGCAGCTCTGCAAGGGGCACTGACCCAGAGCAGGACATTTCCCAGTTCTGTCTCTCCTCAGACTCCTTCACAAGGCTGAGAAAGTTAATAATAACAGGTCACATTTGCAAGCACCACAGAAATGTAAATGCTGAGGGTCTTTATGGACAGTCAGCAATTACAGATGAGAAAATTTATATATATATCTATATATATGGACATCCATATTACCTAGGCTGTTCTCAAAGGGCAACAATGACTGGTCCTTTTGCATGGCTGTTTCAGACCTTGGATATCAAGTAAGGAGAGCTGAAAGATGGATACCATCTTTGCATTTGGAGAAATGGATCCTCTAGCTGGTATGTGGGCAATGAGCTTCCATTTTCCTCTGCAGAGTCTTAGCAGAGACTTGGGTAACTTCATTTTAAACCAAAGATTTATCACCTATGGAAAGACTTGAGTGCTTAGTTTAGTCTGGATTGCATGACTTCAGGCACAGTGGAGCAAATATTTTGAAGTTTGGAGAGTGCTGGGCAGTTTTGTAACTGCTCAGAGCTCTCACAGCAACACCAAAGCTCTCACTTTCATGCTGTTTTTTAACAGGAATCTGCTCTGTGAATCTTCCTCAGCCTAAAATCATCACAGCTCAGTGTATTCAATAAATTCACTCCAGGAGCTTCTTTGCACCTGATGTGTCACTTTGGGTTTTTTTCCCTAAAAAGACATGGGCCGTTCTTGCTCTCACAATGAATCCTGAGTGGGATGGTTTTTGTAAGTAACCACTACAAATAGGACTGAATTGAGAAATTCAGTTCAGTCTTTCTTAAATATGTGCCAATATCAGCGAGGATTTTGCTGAATAAGCACTACCATAGCCCAGAGATCATGAGTTCTGACAGAACTAAACACACACTGAAATACAAAAGCAGCCCAGAGACTGTTTTTCAGGAGCAGTTCTGTGTTTCAGCCACCAGCTCTGTGCTCTGTCCTGGCTTGAACATTTTATAGTGAAGATGCTAAAACATATTTTTCATCTCTTGACTCCCAGACGTGGCCTTGGCTTGGAAGAGTCTCCAGGAGGCCAAAGCAGTGGTAGGTGGATCAAGGAACACTTGCTGTCACATTCCTTTATCACTTTCTCTCAGCTACCTGAGCATCACCTCCACAGAGTTTAATTCCATGGATATATTGTCACTGAAACATGTAAACATGCTGTTTGGGTTGTTCTTTTCCAATGAACATATCACCTCTTTAATCATTTGCTAAATATTAATAATAATACATTAATAAATAACAAAAAGAGGATAAAGGGAAAAGCAAGGAATCTTACCCAATTTCACAACACTCTTCACAAAATTAATTATAAGAATAGACAAAGCTTGGCCTTGCTTGTGTTTGAAGCCCTGAGCAGACTAATAGTGTCACTATATTATAGCTGACACTCACTGAGCTGGGACAACTTCTTAATTCTTCCTATTTTATCATCCTCTTAATAGGGGAACATGATAGTGTTGATATCAGGCACATCAGAACTGGTATTGCTTGGATAAATCAGAATATTATCCAAATTCATGGGGTGTTGCTTGCACAGCAAAGGCCTGACACCAGGATCCCACTGTTGGAGTTGCTCTTGGCTGGGTTTGCCTCCAGCTTAGGCTGTTTTTAAAAACATCAGTAAAAATCTGCAGCCCAAATCCATGCAAAGTGTAAATAAAAAGAGAGGTGATTTCATCTCTTATCTTCCCAGTCAACTGCATTCTTTCCAACTGTAGGAAATGCCACATGGAACATGCTCAGACATGCCAGTATTTACCCAGTAACTAGGAGCTGCAAAATTAATCAGAGAAGCAGTGTGTGCCAGCAAAAAAGCTACCAGGGGAAAAAAAATACCCAAACATATGTCACCCTTCAAAAGAAAAATCTGCCTTTTCACAGCTACAAAGGATTGAAAACAAATTTTATCATCAAACATGGAGTGGTGCCAAATCTCAGGCAGCCAGAAGAAAGCTTTGGCACGAAAAGAGCTTTGGTGAGTTCTGAGTTACTGGGAAACTGCTGAGATGGGACTGCTTTGGTGCTGGAGGGAAGGGAAGACAACAGGAGACAGTGAAAAACCCTCTTTATTGAGGGAAGTGTCTGTTTTTATCAGCTTTCTGTGATGTCCCCAGCAAAATATCACAAGGCACACGGAGTCACACCTTGCTGAAGAGAGCTGGGGCAAAAGCTGCAGCACAGTAAAAGCTCCTTTTGCTTCTCCTCTGAGGTGTTTTCCCCAGAGATAACTGAAGGGATGCAAATGCAGCATTTTGTTTGGTAACTCTAGAAGGAAATACACAATTGTGTTTAAAATAATTTCTAAAAGATAAAGGGGGAGAAGGAAAGGAAATACACAATTGTGTTTAAAATCATTTCTAAAAGATAAAGTGGGAGAAGGCAAAAAGCAGGAAATCCAACCAAATTCCAGAAGACGACAAGAACAGACTTCACTTATTATTTTTGTATCTGCTGGATATTTGTTTTTGGGAAGATTTTCATCTGCCATCCTTCAATATTTATAGCTGTTATTTCCTCCTAAGCAGTAGAGGTTTGTGCCATCCCTGCCTGGATCCTGCTCTTGGTAACAAGGATAGCAAGAGGTGTGAGTTGATCTCTTGCTGGAGCTTGTGGTTTTGCTTGGGAACCTTTGTTCTTCTTCCCAAACCATTTGAACAGGGGAGGGAAAGATGTTTGGCACTGGGTTTAAATGACAGGGGTGAGATGTGACCTGGTGGAGGACACTTTAACACCCAATCCTGTGGGATTCAGGAACCTGGCACACAGGGGGCTAAAGGCAGCACAGGTTTCTGTGCAAGCTGGTGACAAATCCTCCCTCTGCCCTGGGTGGCACAGACAGAGCCCACACAGAGATTTTTACACCAAACTCTCACCTTTCCATCCCAGAACTGCAATTCTGGCAGGCTCTTTCCCAAGCAGGAATGAAATGTTACCCAGGTGTCCAAAGGGCCAGGTTTGGTGGGGGAATAGTCCCCAGTGAAAGGAGCTGTTTGAATTGAATGGTTAAGGAGCATTTCTGTCATTGACATGGTTTTGCTGTGCTGTAGATGGCGAGAGGAACAAAGATGAGACAGCTCTGAGTGAGAAAAAGAGCAATGAGAATCCTCCAGCTCACAGGTAAACAAATACCTGAATGTACAGCACTTGGGGGATGAAGAGATGAAGCCAAACATAAAGGGATTTAAAATTCTGGGATGCAGGACTTCAGAAAAAGTTTAGCACATTATTGTTTATTAGAAAAAAAAAACAAAAACAAAAAGTCACCAATTTCACCCTCAGAAATGCTGACAACAAGGCACTGGAGGAAGGCAACCCCTGACATCAGCTGTCTGTGTTTGTCTGCTCATGCTCATAATTACTCTTATCAGACCATGGTTTGCGTTTTACTTTCCTAAGATTATCTTTGTTTGCCAAATTTCTGGTAACTGGCAAAATGCTGATCCTGTGGAGACACTGAGATCACCATCAGAGCATGTTGTGGAAACTCAGCAGTCATTCATGTCAGTGTACTGACCAATTTAATAACACATCCCACGTGTTCACTCTTGGTTTTCTTTTTCCTAAGAAAGGGAAGCTCTGCTGTTCTCTCTGCCTGCTCACAAACCTGTTTGCCTGAGAGCCCTGCTGTGATCTCTGCCCCTTCCAGAATGATCCCTCTGTCCCTCAGGGAAGCCTCACACTCAGCACCTTCCAGCCCTTCCAGGAACTGGGCTGTGGATGGCGAAGGCACGGCTGGGACATGGGCTCCTGCAAAGAGCCTGTGCAGACCAAGAAGGGATGATTTTGGGGATCAGGAAGATTCAAGAGGTCACACAGTACAGCAGGAAAGACCTCCCTGCTCCCTGCATCCCCCACCTCACTCCCCTGCAGGGAGCAGGTCATTCTCAGCTGGCCCGTGGGGCAGCTGGAGCAACATTCCCATGGACCACCTTTCACCAGCCAGCAAGGCCAGTGAGCAGAAGCTGGAAGAGCTGTGGCAAAAATCACCCCAAAATAAGTTGGAGCAACTCAAGAAGAGGATTCAGGAGCAGAAGCAAAGGCAGCAAGCAGCACCTTGGGAGGAAAAGCCCTTGATTTCTGCTAAAGAGCCACTGCCAAACAGAGCTCTGAAGAGAAAGGTGTGCAGAGTGGGCTCTGCTCCTGCTGCTCCAGCTTACAGAGGTCAGTAATAGTCTGGAATCCATGGAGAAAGGCTGGAACTGTGCATTACCCAGCCGAATAACTTCCCACACAGCTTCCACCCCACCTTTGGTCCATGTTGGGCATCACCCATGTTCTTGTGATAAATCCATTTACTTCTGCAGCTCCAAACTTCCCTGGGCTGTCCATCCCACCCTGCTCCCTCCTGAGGTCACTTCTCCACTGGATTTGCTTCCCCCAGCGTGCACATATTCATTAATTTCTTTCCACAGATTAGTAAAGAATTTGCTGCAAATCTGTTTTCTCCCCTTTCCTCCCACATCCTTTTGCCACATGTAAAGAAAGAAATGGGACACAGCAGTACAGTAGTGCAGAGGCATCACAGGTATTTAAAGCAGGAATTGTGCAGTTCAGAGGCATTACAGGGGATTTGACAGTTCATTCAATGGAACTACTGTGAAGCAAATATTATTAGACTGTCCTTATCCTGCTCTGCTGCTAAATTTGGGGCTGAAGAACCATCCATGCACAGCTGTCACCTTAGTTTAGTGTGGTTTAAGATCTCAGATTGCTGGGAGCAAGGCATGGAGTTGGGAGCAAGGCCTGCCTGGGGAGAGCCCAGCAACCTCCTGAGCCAAGGGGGATTACTGAGGGAATATGGGACTAGAGAAGAGGAGCTGAAAAGCTGCACATAATAAATCTTATTGCTGTAATAGCATTAGTGTTAATTCATTGGGCGCTGGCATCCCTGTCGCACACCACCAGCTTCCACAGGCATTTCCCTTGGATTTGCTCCCTGTCACCTTTTACAGTGATGTTTGGAGGTGTGTTTTGGTGCTCCCCTGGGGTCTGTGGGAGCCAGACATCCCTGCTGCCACCTCCCCTTTCCAGCTGCATCAGGCAGTGCTTTCTGTCGTGTTACCCCTCCTAATACCCAGAAGCCAAAGCCACAATCCGGGCTGAGCCTCTTTTGAACATCCCAAGGGAAGGCTAGTTTTGTTTTTAAACCCAGATCATTTTATGTAACCAAGTCAGGGAACTGCCAGACAAACCATTCAACTTGCAGAACAGAGGCAGCCCGTGAGGCTGAGGATTAACAGCTCCAGGCACTCAGTTCTGATGCATCTAGTTCAGTTTGTCTCCCTGTACTCTACCACTGAAAAAAGTGTGTCACAGCTGCTTGGCCAGATAATCCCTGTGTCAGACACCTGCAGTCCAGCCCAGGGAGCCACTTCAGCCTTTCACACATCCACGAGCTCAGTGCTGCTGGGTACCAGCATCTGCACAGCTCCTGGGAGACTAATGGTTCTCAACACCCTGTTTGTCTTGGTTTCAGTGCTCTGAACCCGAGGTCTGCTCTCTCCTTGCCTGATGAAGGGCACAAAAGACCAGGTAGAAAGGGATTAATCATCCCTGGACAAGGAAGGGGCTATATAAAAGCACCCAATACCCCAGGTTAGCAATGAGGTAACATCACAGTTTGTTAGAGGCAACTTGCCCCAAGCATCCAGTGCTTGCTTTGTTAGTCTGGATCTCCAGAGGTACCAAAGGGAAGAGGTCCCATTGCACCCACTGGATGTACCAGTTAGGTCAGGGCCATGCTGTATGGATAGACAGAGTCATGGATAAAACCTCAGGGATGGATCCAGGCCAATGCTTGCTTTGCTGGGACATCTGTACCACAAAAAACCCCAAAAGTCCTGCTTGTTTGGTGACCAGTTTCATTAAAAAGACTCCTTGCTTTTGCATTCCAAGGGAATGGGACTGGGATTGGTTTGTTGGGTTCAGCAGTCACGTCTGAAGTTTGATTTTAGCTGCACACTAATTCTTTTCTGTGTCTTATTTCCCCCTTCTGATTAAAGACCAAAGAGAGAGAAGCTCAGCACAGAGGATCCAAACACAAAGCCAGAGGCAGCCTCCACCCAAATCCTCTGTTCTGGAGAGAGCAAAAGTAGGGAAAGGTAAGGATGAAAATCATGAGAATTTAGATGGTCTGATGGACAAAACTACTGGAAGTTGGTGGCATCTGGAAACTCACCTGCCAAAATTTACTGTTGGTTGTTAAATAACAGCAAATCCTGGGATCCACAGCCAAGGACCCAGCAGGTTATACTGAGCAGGTACCAAAGAAAACCAGTGAAGGGACAGACACAAACCATCATTCATTCCAGGAGGCAGAAGATGACTCTTGGCAGCACAAGGTGAAAAGGCTGAATTTCTGGGTTTGCTGCAGATGAATCATGCTGAGGCCCCCAAAATGAGGTGTCAGACTGGCCACCCAATCCCACCTTCTGTCACTGGACTTTTGGGTACAGTTTGGCAAGTCCCTTCTACACACAACCCCCAGGCACTCCATGGGCAGAATTTGCCACAAGCATCCTCTGTGCCCATGGGCATCACCCAAAACCCAGCCTGTGGTACCTGTGACAATCTGTCACACCACTGCCTGCAGCAGTTGAATCCCAGACCTGCCAGGATTAAAAATCATCAGAAGTGAAAAATAAGTCCCCTTCCTCAGTGGGAAGAGCTGTCTGTCACCTGCTCAGTTCTGTGGTACCTAATGAATTGAGTGGCACCAAAGGCAGGGAGGTCCTGCCAAACAAGGTAGTGAAAAGTCAGATGAATAGTCCAGAACTAACTACAAAGTCAACAGCGGGACTCAGTTGATAGTTCTCAGTTTTATTTGAGAGGTCTGAGGGCAGATTTGAGTGCCTGCTGTCATTTTACCCACTGAAGGTTATTGCTTTGCATAAAAGTGGTTGCATTCAGATTTTGTGGGGAACAAGGCAGAGAGTGGAAGTGCTGTGGGTTGTACTTCACACCAGCCAAGGTACCAGGGAAGTAACTTGTGTGGAAGAAAAAAAGCCAAGCAGATGGAATTATGAGCATAGTTACATCCTGTGCTCTACTACCTAAGTATGATTTAAAATGCATGAAATATGTAATAATTTCCTTCTCCCTCCTTTTTTTTTTTTTTTGTTTTAATGGATTGTTTGAAAAATGGCTTGATCTTCCTCTGAGAGTGGGTCATAATAAGACCATGCCACGTGAAGCATTCATCATTGTAACTGCCAGTGTCATGGTGTCTTTATTGGCTATTAGTTTCTGTCAGGGAAGGAGCCAAGGCAGGGCTACAAAGAGATGAATGAGGGGCAGGGGTCAGAGCCAGAGTACTCAGGAATTTGATGAATTATAAATTTGCTGTAGTTAACAAAAAATTAAGTCACAACGGCTATAAAATATTCATCTGTTCATAGGTGGGGGGGAAAAAAACACCCAGGAGAATATTTAAATCGAAAGATTTTCTTCTATCAACTGTTCTCATCAGAAATGCAGCTGCTCTTGAACTTTAGCATCATAGTTTCTGTAGTTAATGAACACTGTGCAGATAAAAAAGAGATTTAGTTGAAATCAAACATCATGGTGAAGCAAAGATTGTTAGGTCTACATATTGGTTTGGTGTGTTCAGAGAAACTGAGTGTACAAAATAAGTGCATCCTTAATTTTGAGTACTGCTAAACTGGGAAACAAAGTGATCCATCAAGTGTTTCCTCAAAGACACGGATGGATCCCAGCCCTCCTGAGCCCAACAGGCTCTGACAATTCCATCCATGTTGCTGCTGTCACACACCAAACTGCACAGATCTAGTGCTTCATACTCTGAAAGCTTCCCAAGGAATTCCATGGGATTGTAGGAAGTGACTTCAGCCCCACAGAGAGTGAAGCTCTTCCTTGTCTGAAAAACATCATTCCCCTTGTGACACGACCTAAACCCACAATCCAGATGAGCCTCCAGACACTTCAGAGGCTGCTGCAAGTTAAAAAATAAAAGTAAATGGCTCTGACTCCATCAGTGGCCATGGTACAGAGGAGATGTTGCCTTGCAGCTATTCCCAAAGGGGAATCTCAGGGCAATCCCACTGACCAGTCATTCTCTGGAAGTTCTTCATGTCCAACAGGTTCCCTGACTCAGAGATGCTGCCACAGCACACAGACAAGTTACTGAAGAGAAGCTGGAAAAGCCTCACTCAGAGCACTGAAACACATCTTTGAACTGATTTAAGAGTAAAATCTTTCCTAGGAAAAAAAATAGCTTGAATATTTTAATTGGGAGAGAATTTAGGGGGGGTAGGGGAGGATTTCCATGCAAAACCCAACTAAGTACCTGTTTAGTCACCTTGTGCTGGAGAAGTGTTTGCAATAAATACATAATTGTGCAAGTATTGGCATGCTGTGAATGCAACCCGAAATTATGAAGTAAAACAGTGATAAATGTTGTCTATTATGTGACACCACCTATTAGGCAGCAGCAATTTGTTTGTGCCTCGTTCTGCATCGTTTAAATCTGCATTATACGTTGTCCCTCGTCCCGTGTCATTCATTGATCCTTCCACACCACATCCTGCTGAGTCTCACCACTTTAAAAATGAATTAGTTTGCTCTAGTGAGTTTGAAGTAATCACAAGGAAAAGAATAATTTTGTTTTCCCCTTCTGTCCAGTTCTCAAACCTGCTGGTACCCGGTAAAGATTTTTAATAGAGTTACAATTCTCTTTCAGAGAACATTTGAGGGACTAATCATAGAATAATCATAGAATAATTCAATACAAATGCTGTATTTCAGGTGTGAAGCTGCCTGGAGCTTCTGCATGGAGAGAAGGTCAGAAGTTGGCCAGAAAGTTGCTTGGTCCACCCCCTGAATTTCCAAATGTGAGGAGCAGAGCTGCAGAGCAGAGCACAGCAAACACCCTCGGTACAGCTGCCTCCCTCCAGCACTGGGTGTTTTGGCACACACACAAAAAAAAGTGGTTTATCAAACCTGAGCGAAACAAAAGGTGTCCAGGCCCTTCTGAGCACCTTTTTCTTTAATGACTCTTGCAATAACAATTGGCCACTTCAAATTTCACCTTTACAGATTTGTCTTCTCCCTTGAATGTCACAGGTTTTACAAGAGATGTACAAGTCTGAAAATAGTGCTCAGACCTAGAGCAGGTTTTGAGATGCACATGATAGATACAGGAATTGATACCCTCTGGAGTAATAACACCACTGTTGTTTCCAAATGTTTCCTACAGGACTTGGTAGAGGATTTGTGGCAATGCCAGGGATGGAAAACAGCTGGAGAGACAAGGGAAGTGAAGCTGCTGGGAAGAGCCCTGAATTCCAAAGCTGCAAGGCTGTGGAAAGGGGCAGCAATGCACCAGCTGAGGATACCAACCAAACACTCAGGAACCTCCACTTCCAAAGCCAGTTCCATGATGAAAACAGACATAGCAGGCTCCCAAAAGATACTGTAAAAGGAAAGGAATCCCTAGGGATTGTTCTGCAGCAATCCCTAGGGATCCATTCTCCTTCACCTGGACTTTGGGACACAACTCCCTCTGCCTTCAGTGGGGAAAGGATAAAACCTTCATTAATGAAAGATGGAGCCAAGCCCAGCTCAGGAAGCTGCAGCAGAGGGAAAAGTGCATCTCCTCAGAGACAGAAAGGCTTGAGCAGCCCTGCACAGAGAGGGTCTGAGAAGGAAAACCTTAAGCACCCTTCAAAGAGGAGGGTAAACCTTAAAAAACCTCACCCCTACAGCCCCGAAATTGTTCGGGAATTCATGAATCGCAAAAAGGAAGAAAGAAAGAAAAAACTCCTTGAGGAGAAAAAGTCCTTGGTGGAGGCTGCAGAGATGAGGAAGAAGAGATTGCAAGAGGTGTACAGGAAACAGAGAGAAGCTATTGGGAAGAAATCATGTCCTGACCAGATGCACAAGTTCATTGGGAAAACGGCTTCTGCAAAAGGAAATCCTCAGTGTGACCTTGAGCAGGTAAGTCCTCCAGGAGTGGCACATTGAAACCCCTCCAATCTTGATCAGCACCATGTAGGACATGAAACACTTCATTCAAATGCTTTGAAGTGTCAGGGAGAAAAGGTTGTATCTAGAAAAATGGAGCAATTAATTTGTAATTATGGCAAGAACTGCTGGGCTCATTAGTAGGGCTGAAACCCTCATTTTCAGGACCAAAAACCTGGAAATCTCCATTGCCTGAGCTGAAAGAACTGGTTTGTTGAGTGATATGAGCAGTTTGCCAGTTACATGAGTCAGTTATTAAGTAGAACAAAAGCCAAATATTGCCCTCCTGTTGCCAGCTGTTCAGTGCTTACACTGATGGCTCTTCTATTCCAGGAGCAAACCAGTGGGGGAATCCTGGAGAGGAATTCCATGGCCTGGGTGGATGAAGCATCCTGTCCTCTATTACATAAAGATCATGGAGGCAGGTACTCAGATTTCAAAAGCATCCTGGAAAGCCTCTTTCTCAGAACACACTGCAGACATATTTCTCTCTTTTTTTTTTTTTTTAAACAGGAATCAACTTCTAGAAAGAGCTCAATCCCCTAAAAAAGGAGAGGCATTATCTCCTCCAGCACCACTGGAATGTGAATGCTGCTTTCTCAGTCCTCTGAGATGTGAAGACTTGAGGGGCTGCTCTCCCCCAGCTCTGCAATTACCTCTGAGCTTTTCCCCTCCTCAGAAAGATGCAAAACCTTCCTCCAAGGACTGGACTTCTGGACTTTATCCTTACAGAATCAAACAGGATCGAGCAAAAGCCATTCACAGTCTATCCAAGGAGCTTGAAGAAAGGACTGACGTGGCAACCAAGAGGCTGAGTGCAGGCAGCTGGGTTAGAGACTCTGCTGACAAAGCATGGGCACAGACAGCTCTGGATCTTTACAATGAGTCTTCTTCTGTCCCAGAACCTGAGACTTCTAGGAACAAGGAAGACAGGCCACTGACTGTACAAATGCTCCTGGATGCTGTTGATCCCGATGTGCCACGTGTGTCATCCAGCAGGGAATTTCATGGACTGGACAGGGTTAGACTTGTGGGTAGCACTGAGGGAGCAACAGCCCTGGACAGACAGAAGGAAATGCTCGTTCTTTTGCCTGGTGGGAGTGCTGAGAGGGAAGAATTACCCTGGATCACTCACAGAGCAGGACAGAGGCACCTCAGCACTGGGGGAGACCTGAGCAACACATTGCAAGGTAAATCATGATGTGATGCAACAGGGAGACTCAGGTGCCATTGCCCCAGTCTTTCAAAGCTTCAAAGCAGTGGTTAATCCTCATCTGCCCTGGGCTGTTGGAAGTGTTGTGTCTTCAAAAATCCCTGAGTACTGGGTCTCCTAGACTTTACTTTCCTATCTTCTCATTGCACCTGTGAAATTATATCTCTTAATTTCCAAAAGTAAGAAAGGAATTATAAGCCTAATGTGTACTTGGCAATCTGTGGATAAGAAGAGCTACATGGAAGTTAAGTGCTCACACATAAGGAGGCAGTGAATAGATGCCAGAGCTTGGGCCATTTCATTTCTACAAAGAGCATATTTATTAAATGCCTTCATTTGTCTTTTTAAAAGGTTTCCCTGTGAGTAAGGGCCCCGAGGTGGACAGGAGCCTATTGCATGAAAAGCCAATAACCAGCCCAGCCTCTCCAGCTCACAGATTCCTCTCTGGAAGGTAAACAAAGCTGGATATATTATTCTCTGCTGAATGTGCCACACACACACGCACTTAAAATAAATAGCACCAATTCAGCACGGAGCAGACAGCTCTGTGCTGCTTACCCAGAGAATTGCCAGGTAGGTCACAAACTAAAAGAGGGAAACCACCTATTTGTAGGGAGTTGGTGGATCAATGAGGAAGATTGGGCTGGAGTTTTGGAGAGATGGAGCTGGATTTGTGCTCCAGGAGGGAGTGCTGGGAGCAGAAGAGGAGCTGTCTCTCGGTGCAGCCCAGCCCTGCCCGCCTGCCCGTGAGAGCGCTGCCTTCCCCTTCCCCCCGGAGCAGGGGCAGCCCCGGGGCCGGGGAATCCCCGGGAGCTGTGGGTGCCACGGGGGTGGTGGATCCCCCGGAGGTTGCAGGTGGATCTCCCGGGGCCGGTGGGTTCCCAAGTGATGGTGGATCCCCTGGGAGTGGTAGATCCCCTGGGAGCCGGGGATACCCCGGGGGCCGTGGGTGCCCCGGGGGCGGTGAATCCCTCGGGAGCTGTGGGTGCCCCGGGGGCGGTGGATCCCCTGGGACTGATGGATCCCCTGGGGGCGGTGAGTTCCCCAGGGGCTGTGGGTGCCCCGAGACCGATGCTTCCCCCGGGGTCTGTGGGTTCCCCAGGGGTTGGGGATCCCCTGGGAGCCGTGGATTCCGGGGTCCAGTAGATCCCTGGGACCGGTGGATCCCCAGGGGTCTGTGTGTGCCCCTGGACCGATGTATCCCCGAGTTCCCAGTGGGTGCCTCTCTTGCCGTTCCTCCCTCCCTCCGCCGGAGGGCTCCGGCAGCCGCGGGACGGGCCGGGGGGTCCCTGCGGGCACCTGGGGAAAGGTCCCCGATCTTCCTGCGGGGATGAACGAGGGATTCGATCACCACCTGCGTGCGACAAATTCGTTTCGGGTGATTGTTTTCACTCACTTCGCTCCCAAAAGCGGGTGAAAAATTCCGATTATTGCAGCTCTCTGGGCTGTGTGCGTGCGGAGCAGCGTCTGCTCACTCGCGGCACCTTTCCCTGGACAGCACAGGGGTCAGAGAGTGGGGATGATTGAGGAAAACAGGTTTGGAAGTAGGAAGTTTAGAAAAATGGATTAGATTAACGCGGGTTGTTTTCAGCCTGCCCTAATTAAATATTTAATGTAGATGGCAGTCGATATAAACCCCTCTGAATTTAGCCTGTGTCGTAGAGGGCAAAGACATATTTGTGTAACTGCCCCAGGTGGGTCATGTCTGGTGACAGGAGGGACTGTGAAGGGACGTGTTAGTTCAGACACAATCACTACTCAAAAATTGTCCAGAGAATTATTTCTCTGATTTTAGGCAGCACCTGCAGGTGTCAGAGCATACCTTGACCAGGCATGGAGAAGCACAAAGCCAGAGACTCTTGAGGGGCCACACATCCCTGCAGAAACATCTTCCCTTAGACAATAAATCCCCTGAGCCCTGAAGATTACATATGACCTGGACAGGCATTACCAAAGAAAGGACATATGTGCAGCAAGCTGGTCACAACGTCCCAAATGTCCTGTTCAGAAGAGGGACGAGGTGTTGGTGCTGTGGGATCCTGCCAGGCAGGGATGGGCTGGCTCTGCTCCGTGGGCACTCTGCTGGAGCCTGGAACCAGGCTGGCTGTGCCCACCTACCTGCAGCGAGCTCTAGTGGGAAAAAGAGTATGTTGTGGTTTTTTAAAGTGAAGGCGGGATGTTAAGCTCAGCATTCTTTTTAAGAAGATTGTTTACAGCTTTACAGCACAAAGTAAACACGAGGAAAATGGAAATTGGAGAGATAAGCCCAGACAGCTCAGCTTACCAAAGTTATGAACTGTAATTACTGGAATTACCGGGAGTTAAACCCCTGTTCTTTGTGCACAACTACCACACTCACAAAGGTTGGGCTGATTTCTGCTCCGAGAGATCATTGCAAGGATTATGGAGCTGTTCTGTCACAGGAGATGGCAAATGTATAAAACATGAGCACTGGGCACTCAGAGTGTGCAGTGGAGAGAGTTAGAGCTGCGCCTGCACTGTGCCTTGGGGAGCACAGAGCACCAGTCCTGGGGTCCATCACTCTTGTCGTGCTTCTCTGCAACCCTAATTCACAGCAATGGCAGTAGGGGCAGAACCCCCTGGGCCCCAATGGGAACAACCCCCCAGCTGTAAGGGACAAGCATCAGAGCAAGTGGAAATAAGACAGATTGCACTGATCTCCTGAACAATGCAATTACTGAGAAAGCAAAGCTCCCGTGTGTCTGAGCAGCCGAGGCAAAGAAAGTCCTCAGAGCAAAAAAAAAAAAAACAACCCACCAATAAAACCTCTCCAACAATAAATCACAACCCTGTTGCAAGTGCTGCTCCAAAAGATGAGGAGAGCCACTTGCAGATAAAATATTGCTGTATTTAGAGATTAGAAGTGGAAAGTGTTGCTCTATTGTGAACGACTCCAGACTCATCTCCTTGTAGGCTGAGGGCTCCTCTGATGCAGTGACAGTAAGGGGACAATACAAAGGCAAGACCACTCCATGTCTAACCCTTTCTTAGCTACTGGTAAATTGGATAATACAAAGGTTCAGAGTAAAAGCCTGGCTTTTGTCCTTGGCTTTTATTTCCATATTATCTACAGTCTAATTTTGCACCTTTCCTGAAGCCTGCACACTCACGGGAAGGAAAAGAGGATGAGTCCTTTGGCACAAACCAGTGGGCAGCACATGGCAGGGACAGGTGAGGCTCCTGTCATCAAGTTATTCCTGAAGCTGATCCATTATTAACTGATTCCCACTGAGGGCACACAGATCAGATCAGACAGAAAGCCACGTGGTAAGGGAGCACCAGTCACCTCAGTCACCTCAGTTCCTCAGTCACCCCAGTTGCTGAAGGAGGTGGCTGAGGAACTTTCCAGGGTCATACTATCTCCTGCTCCAGGAACATTTGCACTGTGAGTCCATGAACTCCATGTGGGGTAGGGAGTGAAGGGAGCCTGTCTTTTGACTTGCACAGAAAACTTTCCAGGGCTTTGCTCCAGGAGAGGACAGTGCTGTGTCTGTAAAGCTCATCACCAATGTGGCTGTAGCTGGCTTAGAAAATGTGATGGTAAAATCAGCGGAATTGGGTGTATGCTCTGACTTCCACTGTTCTTACCACTGATAATAAGTTACAAATTCACAGTTGGCTCCAAGAGTTCATCCAAACAAAGCCACCTGTTAAAACTGGCTGTTTGCTGGTCTCATTCACAAACACAAAACATCCAGTGCCACAAACCCGGCGCTCTTGGACACGACCTTCTCCACAGCCACTTTCAACAGCACAGTTTTCTGTTTACATGTGTAATTATAGCTCTGAAAACAACAACTCCATGGAAGAAATCCCACAGGTGCCTGTTGCCATAAGAAATGTTCCCATTTCATGCACGGCTGCCCTGCAGTCGCAGGGGCGGCTGACGGAGGTTTGTTGCTGATGCAAATGACTCACTGATGGGAATTCTCCAAACTGCCAGGAAACATGTGTGCAATTCCATCCTTACTTGGTTTCACTTCCCTCTGTAAGTGAAAAAAAATCACAACACTTTTGCCATAAATTTAGATTTGAAAGCGCTCTGGGCAGCCTCAGGGCTGAAGCAGTTGGATCAGAGCTCTGCCTCCTCCTGTGGACCAAATAACACTTTCTCTTTAGCTGGTGCAAACCCAAAGAGCCTCCTCTGGGAATTGGGCTGGTTTGTGTCCACTGCAGAGCTGGTTGTGTCTGGAGGACAAGTGTTGCTGACCACTCCTGTGTAAAGCAAATATTTTCTATAGAATCTGCATTGACCTCCACTGGTGTCCTCCCCAGGACAGAGGCAGGCTTGGATTTACACCTTGGCAACAGTCTCCTCAAGAGCCAAAAAAACCCCAACGACTAAAAAACTCTCAAAACACAAATGCAGAGGCAAAACTCAGTGCATTTGCCCAATGAATATTAGAACTGCTTTTTAAGAAATCCCTGTTTCCTCTTCTCTTCCTCTCTCATCCACCTTTGCTCCCACTTTCTGGAGGATACATCCAAGACGCGTTAGTGGAAGCTGTTCTAATCGTTTTAGCAGTTTCTGGGTCATGAAAAACAAAGAAAAGCTTATTAACGAGAAAAATGAAATAAGATTTCCCTAAGCTGATTGCCCAGAAAAAAAAAAAATTCCACATTCATTTTTCTCTGTAAAATAGAAAACATCTGTCACCATTTCAGTGTCTCGGTGTCCCTGCATGTGTTTCAGCCCAGGCTTGATCAATAAATGCCCATTTTCACACCTTCTTCCCTAATCTTTTTAGTGAAGCTCAGATAGTTACAGACCAAACAAAGTAAAACCAGTTAGCTGAGGTCTTCATCTGCAGGACTTGGTGCTGGCATTGTTTTGAAATATTAAAATATATATATCACTAGCAGATCTTAGTTGGGCCACAGCCACGCTCAGCACAAGTCCCAGAAACACTGGAACAGAGCTCAGTACTTTGTGTTTCTAAACAGATTTCTTTGCCAAGGTTCAGATTGTGCAACCAGGTCCCAACAATGGCACGGATTGTACAATGCAACCCTCATAAATTAAGCTTCCAAACTGCAAGGTTGTTGTTGTTTCTATTTGCCACCAGGTTGAAAATATCCAGCTCTTTCAGAGCAGTGATTAGAGCAGGTAAAAATGAGTGTTGATAGCTTTCCTGATGACATCAAGGTACAAAAAAGAAGATTTTGTACGTTGGCAGGTATGACTTTTCAGGGAGCCTTTTGTTTCCATTTGACAAAATGTAGTAGTTTTGTTTAAATGAAATAACCATTTTTTTTTTAGTTCAAAAGGTTGCTTAGACACATGCACGACCTCAAAACCTTGGTAATTGTTGTTGTTACCTTGGCACAGCCCACAGAGAGGACTCTCGGCGCAGGGGGATCACTGTCCACGTGAGACTCTTTTGAAAGTTCAGAACCGAGAGGAAAAGCCCAACCAGTGTCCTGGAGAGAGCCTGAGGATCCCAGACAGCCTGAGCTTCCAGCCCTGCACTGCTCTGAGCACCGGAGCTGAGACTGATGGCTTTGAGCAGCACTTGGGTAAGGTGGCATCTCCCAGAGGGTCAGAGCACGGTGGTCACTCGGTGCCCTCCCAAGGTGCTTCTTATGCTGTTGCAACAGAATGAATATTCTATTGTCCTTCATTGCAAAAGAATTCTTGCTAATGGTTCTGGCTTGGGCTGAAAAAACTTCTGGGGTGCTGGGGGATTTCAAATAGATGGTTTGTGTTCCACGTATCGAAGGTGAAGAATGAATATATGAAAAAATGTCCCCTCAACGTTCATTTTACAGTTTAACAGATAATATGACATTTTTATTAAAATGGCATAGAATGCAACAGGAATTCTTTGCCTTTTCCATGCAGGGCTGTGCTGTCTCTCAGGTGTGAGTTCAGCAGTGTCACTGTGACAGCTACAGACAGTCCCTGATGGAACAAACCCCACTGAGCTCAGAGACATTTCCAGCACCTCACACCTTTATCCAAAGGTCTCCAGGAGCCTTACAATTAATTCTTCATAATTACCACATCAGAGCAGTGTGGAACATTGTCCTGCCTGTACAGCAGGAGGCATCAAGGCACAGGCCATGGACAGGGGTTCCAAAGGGTGAGTGGAGAGATCTGCTGCAGGGAGCTCAGGGCTGGCCAGGGCGGGGGTGCAGGACATCGCTGCTTCTGCCCGGAGCAAAGATTTGCATAGAAACAAGGGAAAGTTTGTGGCTGAAAGGGTTAAATGACAAACAGTAGCGTGCAGACCAAGAGATCTCTGCCTGCTTCCACCAAACAGGAGCAGATGGTGCATTGTTTTAAGGGCTTTTCCGAGACAAAAGGACAAGATCAGATAACCTTTCCTCAAAGAGGGTACTTACAAAAAGCCTTTGCTCTTATTAAGGATTCTTCATTGTTTTCCCCACAACATTTTATATGTAATATTGGATTTTGAGGTGGTGGAGAAGCCAGCATTGTTTACTATGCTTCTCCCTACCCCCCAGGGACTAGGAGGGCATCCTCCCGGGTTGGACAGCAAGTCTGTTGTCTGAAGTGTTTACCATAAGCGAAAGACAATGTATTTATTTACTATTGATAAGTAAAGGCCCGATCTGGCAAAAAGATCCTGCCATCCACCATTCACCGCAGGAACAATAGTAACTGCTGCCTCGTGTCTGTGCCAGGAGAAACCTCCACCTTCCCCGAGCATTTGCAGGAGTTGCCAGCGCAGGAGCCCAAGGCTGGGCTGTAAAGCAGCACCTCCACCACGGCCCCGCTGCTGCAGATGAGGCACAGAACTGTCACGCCGGGGACAATGTGCCTTTGAAATATGGGTCACAAGTGGGGCTGTTCACCACCCTCAGCAGGAACGGGGCATTCAGACCCGAGGCCGCATTGTCTGCTCTGAGGCATCACCCCAGCAGTCGGTTCTGGGCTTTCACAGAGCACAGAAGTCACCCTGCACGTGCAGCATAATGAGGTGTAATTGTACAACTGCTGCCAAACAAACATATTTACCTTTAAAGGGGTACTTGCATCACCTAATCTGTACCTGCTACGCCAAAGGCGTGACAAATTTTCTGTAGTAAAAATACTCAGCAAAATTACAAATTTCATTTTCAGACTTCATCAAGCAGAGCATGAGAAGCAGATATTCACAAAACATTTGTAGCTCTTTGCTACCTGCAGTAAGACTAAACTCGTCCTGAACTGTTGAATTTTCTTTTTAAACACAACCAGTGTAAGATTCAGAATTACAAATCCTATAAGCACATGGAAAATATTTCACATAGTTCTTATTTCTAATCAGTTTAGGCAAAACACTTGGTATAACCGAGTGAGCTGATAAGGAAGTGGTTTACATATTACACCACTCTATAAAATCTTTCCATTATTCCTGCCTGAACACCAGGTCTCTTCCATAGGGAGCTGAGGAGATGAGCTACACTTTGATACTTCAGCACGTTCCCTGAATAGAGCTCACAGTACCCAATTTTCTATATTGCTATTAAATAAGAGAACTAGGTGATTTAAAATAAACCCAATATTTTGCCTGTGCCCCTTCCTAGAGCCTTGTGATTGGCCTATGAGCCAGACTGGACTAAATGAGCCAGAAATCTCATTTCATCAGACCAGACGTTTTTCTTTCTTTCTTTCTTTTAATATTGGAGAAATAACAAAGTTTAAGCCAAAATTAACTGTTTAAAAGAGTATTTTCGAAATGTTGAAGCTTAAGCCTGGCTACTGCTTTAAAGTAATTTGCATTAGGAAAGGAAATGGAATGTTTCCATTACTCTTAAAATGCAGAATTTTAACCAGAATTACAAGGAAAATATATTCAATGTCACATCTTTCCCCCAAACTGCTGACTGACATATTTTCTCATATCACTAGAGGGAGCTGCCTTCTTGCTTCTAGCAGAGGGAGAACTGATTAAATTGGTGGAATCAGCACAGAAGTGTATCAGCATGGTTTCAGCTAATTGTGCTCTGATTGATAGCGCTGAGCTAAGGCAGCTCTTCCTGTTCCCTTGCAAAGCCCACCCTGTGCTTTGTATTTTCCAAAGCTTCAGTGAGCTCCATCCTCAGCCTGCAAACGCCTCTGAAGTGTCTGCAATGATGGGGTCGTGACTTGAGGGAATTTGGTATAACTGATGAGGAACAGAAGGACCATTCCATGGAAATTTGGGCTGGTGGTTGGGTCCAGGTTGAGGCCCAGCTCCCTCCTGATCTCCTGCAGCAGGAGCTGCCCTGCTGCTCTGCGGGAGGGGCAGCAGCAGGGTGAGGTGCTGCCATGTGCTGCAACATCTGGCCGGGAGCTGAACTCGGGCCAACCCTCCACACCAGAGGATTTAGACACAAACACAGAATATGTGGAGGGCAGGAGCAGCACAGGCCACATTAATCCCCTTGTTTAGTAAGCAGCTACTCTTCAGTGACAAGTGGGATACCAGACGTATTTATGAAGGAGAGAAGAACCTGATTCAGCAGCCCTGGAAATGCACATTTCCCAGGTGCTCCAGGGTGCAGATCAGCACATCGATTTTCCTGAGTGAACAAGCACAGCCTTCAAGTGGAGAGTCTCTTGCTCAGGGGCTGCTCTTGGCTCACAGGTCCTGCTGAAGGAGGGCCAAACAGCCTGTGCTGGGTATCTCAGCTGTGATCAGGAGTTACCAACCCTCTTTTCTGCACCTCCATTTCCCTCTCATCACTCCAGCTCTGTTCCTGCACATTAACAGAGTGCTGGAAAGCCAGGTGGTGTTTCACTCACCTCCCTCACCTGAGCAACACCTTGAAATAATAAAGCAATTGAGCCAACACAGTAATTTTGGAGAGGGGAAGGATTGCCCAAAATGGGGCAAACAGGTTAATTCTTTCTGGATCTGTTGCTCTGCTCCACAGCAGCATTTCAGGGCACTTTGCACCCCGTATTTCTACACATCCAGGGAATTATTCAGTCAAAGTTGTGCTTATGCTTAAGTTGCAAGTCTGTATTTTTGTAATAGCTGGGTTGGTCTGATTGCTGACACGGGCAGAAAGAGGAAAAGCTGTCCTTGAGTAAAGCAGCAGTAAAATGCTTCTGCCTTGCTTCAAGTGATTAGAAAAATGAGACTTTTAGCCTGGCTTTTTTAATTATATGTCAGGGAGATTCTACAGGGCTTTACTGAGATTCTGCAGGTGCAGCGGAAAGTGATTTAATAAATAGCATTTTTTTTCCCAAGGCTGAGTGTGTGCACGTTGGAGCTATCTGGGGAGGCAGTAAAATGCCATTCATCATCACAGAAAAGGATGGGAAGTTTAGCCAGATGGTATTTTCTTTAATGCAGGATGTTGCAACACAAGAAATGCATCTGGAAATAGCCACAATTAGGAAAATTATGTTCAAAAGCAGTGAAAACAGATCAAACTTTTTAATCACTTGGAGATCAATACCACTGGTCAGGCTTTGAGCAGAACAACAATAGCATTGTTAAGCTTCAGGCACAAGTTAGAAATATTTGCCAGGTTTTAAACTATATCCCAATAGATGATCATACTTCCAAGTGGCCCAGAGATTAGTATTAAAAGCTACTCAGACAACTTAGCATCAACAAATTTAGCTTGTAATTTTTTTTTGTAATAAAATGATCTTATTTGTTAGTATTGAAGGAGCTTTTGAAAGTGGTGAGTGTCTGTTTACCTGCTGAAGAACTATTCACTTTTCTTTTTATTCTATTGCATTGCTTCAAAATTTCCCTGTAGAAACAACAGCTCTTTCACCCACTCACTTTTCCTAAATATGCCATTTCACAAAATCATCTCTAGCAACCATCAGCATTGAAGAGTCTGAATCAGTCCTCAGAACTAGAAAGATTGGCTAAAACCAAAAATACTTTTAAAAGGATGAACTCTTCCTTTGGCATGTGCTTTCTAGGTAATTCGGTGTGATTTTGCCTTTTCCAACCACCCTCCAAGCCCAGGAAATGCCCATTTCCAAAATAAAAGATGAGATTTTTCATTCAGTCCCTCGATTCTGAAAAGGAGGGGGTTAAGAAAAACCTCCCATAGTAAGTGGTAAGTGAAATGTGCAGTCAGGCTGTTTATAAAAACAGAGCAGCAGCCTAATAGAAAATCTGCACCAGGCTGGAAGATTTAATACTTTATTTCACTCACACCCACGTAAACACAAACCCCATCCTGGCATGCAAACAAGGCCACGTCTCTGCTCCTCCTGTGTTAAAAATCCTTCAGCATTTAAAGCAAAAACAAACCCTGCATGTTGTGGGCTTATCCTGCAGCGTGGGGCAATTTGGATTCAGATGATCTGCAAAGAGGCACAGATTTTATCTCAAGTTTCCAAGTCAAAGCTATTTCTATTTATGACCCCCACTTCAATTCATTTATGACTCTGGTTGCTGTGACAGTGGCACAGCACAGAGTAAACACCAAACCTGTTTGCATAAGCTGAGCAATTCATCTGAGGAGCTCAAAGCAGACAAGAACATCTCTCTGGTAAACATTACATCACCTGCAGTGTCCAAGACAGGCAGGGGAGTTACAATAAGGAAGGAGCAGGGAAATAGGTGCCCCTGGAACAAGGAAGAAAGCATCTCCACTTAAAAATGAAAGCTTTTTTCCAGGGGTTTTTGTCCCCCTGTGGCAAAAGAGGAATCAGCCTGCACCCCAGTACACATGGAGGGGACGCGAGGGGTGCAGCTCAAATTCCCAAAGAAATGACCTGTTGGGAAGCTTTTCTTTTGTACCTGGTGGATCTGATCCTGTGGGTGCAGCAAAGGAGCAGTGGGACCAAGAGTGACAATAACCCACTCTCTGGAATTCAGGCTTAGAACAGGAATTGTTCCCCAGTCCTTCTCTTTCCTGGCATAGACCCTCAAGTTTTACCTCTTCCCAATACTTGCAGGACTTCACGCTCACAGATTGTTTGACAAGATGTAGGTAGTGACATTTTCCTTCTACAGTTATGGCAGAAGAAGCAAATGTATGCAGAGAAGTTATTTTGGGAATAAAGGCAGATGTCAGATTTGGGACGCTTCCAAAAATAGGCCCTGGGAGGATTCAGAAGGAAAATGCAGTAGGAGCAATGCACACATTCCCCTTGTGATGATCCCTTGTTTATGTATCAGGACTCGGACATTTTTGGGAAGTGCAGTCAGGTAATGCAGCAGAGAAGGCTGAGAAACAAATGCCCTGGAACTCTGTTGGAAATACCTTGGTACTGTCAGATTATTTCCAAGGTGTACTGGCCTCACTGGTGAGCCCTGCTGGGAAAACACTTCATAAATGCTTAAATCCCAAAGGATTTTGACAGTGTAGAAACTTTCAGGGCAGCAACGGGAATCTGAAGGCATCTGGTTCTACTGTCTGCCTCTTGTTAACTCTGATATTTCTCCAGCTGGCAGCCATTAAATGAAGAACAGGTTCTTTTAATTAAATGGTGACTGTTACCATCTATTTTCTAAACTTCTGCAGGTGAGGGAGGCTGTAGCTACAGAGAGCTGGAACACAAACACAGGAGCCACCTGGACATTTTGAGGCAAACCTCCCTGCTGCTGGCTCACAAACTGAAGGTCAGTGAAGGTGCTGCTGCCCCTGGATTTGGGTGTGCTTAGGTGATAATCAGTTGGCATCAGCTGATCTGCAGCAGGTTTATAAACCCCCAGGGAGCTATAAAAACAGCTTTATTTGCTGTTTGGAGATCTTCCTGTAGCTCTGGTGGGTAAGAACAGGTTGCTGTGCTCCAACCAAAGCAGTGTTTGTCCTGCCTTTCTCTTGGAGTTGGCTGCCCTTTGCTCCCCAGCTCTGAGGTGTTGTGTCACCTGTTTAAAAACATGATTCATGGTGTGTCATTTCCTAACACAGATCCATCAGCTCCAGCAGAAACAGCAGCTTATGGTGCTGAGGGAGAAAGCAAAGCAAGAGCTTCGGGAAAGCCAGAGGTTTTTGAGTGACTTGCTGCAGCACAGCTCTGAGGTAAGTTATCATTTCATATCCTGGGTTAACACCTCTAGGTTCAGCAAAATGTTCCTCCAATCCCCACTGGGTTTTATTCTCACTTAGAGTCTCTTAATTAAAAGAGGTGTTCTAACTCACACAAACTGTAGATCAGAGTAACTTTTTGGAAGTGCCAAGGTCTCTCAGGTAACAGAGTCCCTTAGACTGTCCCTTGGCGTGTTGATCTCAAATCACTGAGGTGCTGCAGCTTTTAGTGTCTATGGCTGGTTTTCTTGTAAAATCAAGAGAAGGTTTTGAGTCCTCAGGAGATAATCACAGTGGTACTTGCTCAGGCATGAGAGACTAGTGAGTTGCTAATATTGACCAAAAAGTATCCTCTGAATTATCCTTTGCATTATCTACAACGAGGTTCTTTCCCAAGAGGATGAGGGGAGAAGGCTTAAAAGTTCTGCCTTTCAAATAGATCATGGAGGTCTCTGGATAATTTCTGTGTGTGCAGGAGTGCAGGAGCTCCAGAGGCAGTGATCCTTCTGTGCCAGGATTGTACCACACGGAGCAAACACGGAAAGGGCACCAGTTGGAAGGTGACCACGCTGCTGGCAGGTACAGGAGGCAGGATGCAGTGAGACACTCTGATAATTTGGCCTGTGGTTTGATTGTATGAACAATTCAGGGCACTAAAGCAGTTGCAATACAGTCTTTTTACTCTGATTTATGCCCAAACCATAATATTAACACCTTCCAATCTTGGGGGAGATGCTGCATTTTTAAAAGGTAAAAGGCCCTTTGAAACTTGTGGGATAATATAATTTTCCTCATTTTGCATTAGCCTCATATACCCTGGTGGGAATGAGAATATTGTATGTGCACATTTTTATGTTCATTTAAAGTGGCATAAAGACCTGAGAATTGCTTCTAGGGTCTTATGGATGCAATTACCAGAAAGGCACCTTTGCACAGCTAGAACTTTCAACATCACATAAAAATGAGCAGCATTCTGGTTTGAAAAAGATTCAGCTTCCACAGAGGCTTAGCTATGAAAGGTAGGAATTGAAATAGTATCTGTGACTGCAATAAGGAAATATTTCCATTCTTTTTACCTTCAGTAATCAAGAAATGTGTTCACTGAAACAACCTGCATTGAAGATAGAAAGAGTTCACACTCCAGTGGATCCCAAAATAGTGGGAGAGAGAAAACCTCTGGGAGGAAGAGGTTCATATTGCTCAGTGCTGCAAGAAGGTGACTGCTAAGTTGAAGGATTTTGTGGTATTGGGAAAACAACACTTCTTAACACATCATTAGAAACAGTGAAACATCCAGGGGCTGGGATGTGTAATCACAGGATGGCTCGGGTTGGAAGGGACCTTAAAGATCATCTCATCCCAACCCTTGCCATGGACAGGGACACCTTTCCCTAGACCAGGCTGATGAAAGCCCCATCCAGCCTGTCCTGGAACAAAATTTGGTAACTGACTTTGAAAATTTTGATGTAAATACTTATATTCATTACCCATATCTAAACAATAGCGATCTCCCTTTGTACACTGGACCTCTCTACGGAAAATTTTCTTGGGATCTGGGAGTTATTTACCTTATTGATGGGCCCCTTTTTCCTTTTACCTGTTTACCGTGATTGCACTTAAAAGTGAGTTTAGTTCATACCTTGCTCCTGTGAGTGAACAGCCATGGGGTGACTCCTCTGGCTCTGAGGGCAGTGCACGGGCCTGGCTTCCAACTCTTTGCGAAGGTGCCTTGAGTTCAGGAATGGACGTCAACTTGTACTGTGGGAGTTGTTTTTTTCGGTCTCTCTTTTTCCTTCTGTTCCAGATATTTTATTCATAGTGACGTTGATTCCTTTCCTTAGGATCCCTGGCAGCAGATCACAGGGAGCCGCCACACAACCATCAAACTGCGAATCTGTTGTCGCCTTTGGTGGCTCTGCCCCATGGGGAGACCCGTGCAGGGGACAACTCTGGAGAGAGCAGTGACCAGGCCAGCTGCAACAGCCAGGTATCACCAGCTCTGGGAACAGTCTGAGAGGTGTTTTTCTCTGAGTTCAGGGTGTCTTTTGGCTTTTAGTCCCTCTATCAGTGACTCTGATGCTCTGCTCTGTCCCCAGTGCAGCGCAGCCATTCCGCTCTATGGAGGCTCCGGCACGTTCTGCCGCCTCAGCCTGGCCCTGGCGCAGCAGTGCCTGAGGGGAGAGGAGCTGCGGGCTCGACACCAGGCCACCCTCCTCCAGCTCCGCAAAAAGGCTCTGAGGGAGAAGGCCAGGGCCGAGCTGGCCTGGTTGGGCCACCAGAGATGGTGAGGGGGCACAATGGGCAGGACACCAAACCTGCCATGGCGGGGACAGGGCCCTCAGCGCCACAGACCTGCCAGGCCTGGACTGCTCTTCTTCTTTTTCTTCCTTTTAGGGAAAGAGAACAAATATAAAACCCTTCTCTCAGAAAGCAAGTGTAGGTATAACAGGAGAAGAGGAGAGGAGTCTGCGTGGTTTTAGTCTCTCCAGAGCAGAGCTGAGCTTCCAACTGCAGCCTCCTTTGGGGTGGTGTGAGGCGCCAACTGGGCTGAGGAGCCCTCAGGGACTGTGAGGGGGAGCCCTCAGTGCTGACTGAGATGAGGAACCCTCAGGGACGGTGAGGGGTGTCTCTCAGTGCTGATTGGGATGAGAAGCCCTCAGGGATGGTGAAGGGTGTCCCTCAGCACTGACTGAGATGAGGAACCCTCAGGAGACGGTGAGGAGTGTCCCTCAGCACTGACTGGGATGAGGAACCCTCGGGGATGGTGAGGGGTGTCCCTCAGCACTGACTGAGATGAGGAACCCTCGGGGACGTTGAGGGGTGTCCCTCAGTGCCAACTGGGATGAGGAGCCCTCGGGGATGTTGAGGGCTGTCCCTCAACACTGACTGAGATGAGGAGCCCTCAGGGACTTGAGGGGTGTCCTTCAGCACTGACTGGGATGAGGAGCCACTGGGGATGGTGAGGGGTGTCTCTCAGTGCTGATTGGGATGAGGAGCCCTCAGGGACGGTGAGGGGTGTCCCTCAGCGCCGACTGGGATGAGGAGCCCTCAGGGACGTTGAGGGGTGTCCTTCAGCGCCGACTGGGATGAGGAGCCCTCAGGGACGTTGAGGGGTGTCCCTCAGCGCCGACTGGGATGAGGAACCCTCAGGGATAATGAGGGGGTTCCTTCAGTGCTGACTGAGCTGATGGACCCTCAGGGATAATGAGGGGTGCAGTGTGAGCACTCCCAGTCCACCGTGTCCCTCACCAGTGCTGTGCATTGAGTACTCAGGGGACTCCATCTGCCTTGGGACAGGTCCAGGCACCACAGCCCCAAGGCTGGGAGATGTCCTCTCAATCTTGAAGAACTTTCTGCAGAGCCCTCCATAGCTACTGCTGGTTTCAGAGGAGCTCTTCTCCCACCTCTGGTATTGTTTTCCGAAGGGCAGTAAATTCAAGGCATTTAATTATCTGATTGTGATTCTCATCTTTCTCTGATCTCCAGTGTTCTGGAAAACCTGCAGGATAGTCATGGAGCCTCTGCCATGGCAGCAAAGCAGTGTAAAATCCTCATGGAGCTGAAACAGGAGCAGGTAATGCTGCAGTGAGAGGAGCTGGGCTTCATCTCATAACTAGTGGGAAGATGCAGCACAGGGAATTGCTGGAGCAAGTGGGGTTTGCTTTTAAAAAAAAAAAAGTCACTTTGTATGTGTTATTCTGCTTGTTTCCTACATTCAGTGAGGTGTTTTTTGTGCCAAAGTCAGCAGTCTGTAAATCTTGGATAAAAGAAAACATCTTTTTATATCTTGTTTTCTGCTACTTCGCTGTTATTGTGGATTTTTCTATTTATGCTATAACAAACAGGTCATGTAATATAGGTTTTCACTGATTTATGCAGATTTATGCTTCTGATGTTGAAATACATTAATTTAATCTGACAGCTAATTTTATAGTCTCAGTTATTCTGCTATGCGGGGTTCATAATTACACTTGGTAGTCAGAAAGTGTGTCCTGCTCCTTATGTAGTACAAGCCTGTTCCTTTCCTTAAAGGGATTCCTAATGCAAACCACAAGCATCCTGTAGTTTTGAATGATCTGAAGATAATTAATTTTTAAAGGTCTCACCTCTTGACTCCCCATTGAAATATCCCCTTATCTGTCATTACTTTTCACAGGTAAACCCCCCCCTTAAGCCCCCAGTGAAAAATAAAACTGCAAAATTTTTTACAAAAAAAGGAGACAAACCTGCATATTGATTTTTCGGGGTGTTTTGTGAGTAGTATGTTAAGAAACTTTATACGTATTTTTAAGTAGGTCTTGTGCTCTTATGCTCCTTTCCTTTTCTGCTTTGCGTAGGCAGAAATCCAGCACCTACAAAACATCTACAGGGCAGCCCATCAAGAAAGAAAGCTTTTGTTAAAGCAGCAAAGAGAAATCTTAATGATGCAGCATTCAACAGCACAACTCCAGGAAAAGCTGCACAGTTTGTCTGGGAAGCAAGAGGTTGTGAAGTCACAGTCACTGGATGTCCCGGTGGGTTTTTGGGTGGATCAGAGCTGAAGCCAGAGCTGATCTTACAGGTAAAACCTTCTGTTACCTTTTCTTTTTAGGTTGTGAGGAACCCAGCAACTGAAGAAGCAATAAAGCTGAAGAAAATGAAGCTTATTTCTGGCCCAAAGTCCTACTCCTCTTCAGCAGAGTCTGCAGCCCTCCCAGAAAGGCCTGAGCTGTCAGGGAGTAAAGAGAGTTGTCTCCAGCTAAAGCATAAACAGAAGAAACACAAGGGGTAAGTAAAACCCTTTCTCAGTGATAGCTGAAGATAAGAAACAATCCAGTGGAGCAGACTGAGACAGTTATGTCCTAGATAATTGTGTGAGCTTCAAATACCCCAAAGAGGGGAGTTTTTATAATGATAATTTTGAAAACCTTTATGATCAAGCAGGTGATGCATAAAGATCACTGCTTGTCATTCTGACCGACCTAGTGTCCCAAATGGTGAGTTCCTCAGGGCACTTTTAATGATGCCACATAGCTACTAATAATAGTTCACGTTTTCATCATGGCTTTTAACAGCAAACTCAAACCTCTTTGCAACTGTATATTAATTAGACTTCAAAATACCCACACGGAATGAGTAGAAATGTATTGATTTAATTGGTGAAATTCTCTCCTTTGTCATCCTCCCTGTGTATCACTTAACCCCTCAGAGCAGGTTTGTGTTTCACTGAGGATTTAACCACAGAAGGATTTTGTAATACCCAGGGCTAAATTTCATGCTTAAATTAAAGCATAAAGGTGTCATGTAAAATGCTCACAGTGAGAAGTAATTTCAGAGTTTAGGCAGAGAAATCACCACCTTCCTGTTTCCCAAGAGTTGTATCCCCAACATCCCTGTCTGCTTCCCTCTGGGATGGAGGAATGAGAACCCAACAGCATCCACACAGCTCAGAACTAAACCTATTTTGGTTCAGGAAGAAAATGTTAAAGAAAAATACATATCTCTATGAATTAAAACCCCTTTTCATTCAGTGTACCCAGAGCTTTAGCAGAATGGTGAGTCAGGTTTGTGCATTTACTTAAGTCCCCACAGGGAAAGGCTTTCAAATAAATCCCTGCATGGAACTGATCTATAATTCATGGTGTTATTGATTACAAGTCAGAGGAATCTTTAAAAGGTTTCTTGGCTGTGCTTTCACTTCTTATTACTGACAAGCCTGCTCATAGGAGAACAGTGAATATTGGTGTAAATCCAGAGCAGCCAGGGCCTGCTGGAACTCAAATGCACCCAAATTCAGGCTGATTGTCCACAGATCTCTGTCCTGTGTAAGAGTGCAGAGTGGGAATTCTGCTATTTATCCACCAGCATGGGTATGTTCATATTTTATACTGATCAGGAAGGTAGTTAATAGGCAGGGCTGTAAAGGGATGGAAAGGATGGGGAAATGCTTTGAAAACTGAAACCAAACTGAAATAATAAATCACCAACATGCAGAAAAAACTGCTGGTTTGGGGTTTTGCTAATGGATGTTAAATACTAGAAACAAATGATAAACGTGTAATTCTTATAAATAGACAAACTTTTAACTAAGAATTAGAGATATATGTCCTTACACATTAGTGGTGTTGAATACTACATAGGCCTCCTTTTTCACCTTAAAAAATAAACAGGAATTTACTTTCTGGATATTCATCTTGTTAATATCTTCAAGAACATATTTACCTTTTTTAAACTGGTATTAAAGTAAAAACAAGTCAAAAAACCCAGCAAAACCAAACCAAAAAAACCCAGATGCATTTTTTTGTTTGTTTTTTTCTGGACAGAATAACTTACTCAGCTGTTAATTATAGAACTAAGGGAAAAGCCTGTGAGTGTGAGTCATGTTGCCTTGTGCTTTTGCAGTAAGGAAACTGTTTAGAAAGTTCAAAGTCACCATCAAAATCAGTATCTGATGTCCCAAATGTCCATAAAGCTATGTTTGAAGTAGAAAATTTAATGAGAATTGTTGAAATCTGATATGCTATTTGGAAACAGAGGAGGCAGACAGGTCCAGAGTTTGACCCTGGTTTTGCTTTTTGAGTTCTAATGTTGTTTTTTTTTTTCAGTCTCCTCTTGTTCCTGTCTATGAAGGTTTGAAATCTGACTGTATAAAATACAATATCAAGTGAGAGGGAGGGGATTGGAGAAATAAATACACTATTCAGAGTGTTTCTGGCTTTACTAATTTGCTGGTTTAGAAACACTCTGGAGATACTATCAAGCACTACCAGAAGCATTTAATTTGTACCTTTGACTTCATATGGATTTGCCATGACTAACTTGGAAACACAAACCCCACTCCCAATCATTAATCCTTTGTCCAACTGTTTACAGCTTTTCTACTGAGAACAAGGGAACACTGGGACACCACCAGAAGCAGGCAGAGGAGTCCCCAGGTTTGGAGCAGTCCCTTGGTGTGGAAATGTCTGGAATGGTGGCCAGGAGAGTGTGTGGTGCTGCTGGTGAAACCACAGGCTCAGTCTTTAACCATAAAGACTGCAAAAACACAGGTACCCAGCACAGAATTCTGCAGCAAACCATGTCTGTGACCACTGACTCATCTTAGGGCAAAAGTTGAAGTCTCAGCTGCTCTTTGGAGCAGTTCAAATGATCTTTCAGAAGAGGACTTTGAGCTAATTAGCCCCTGAGAGAGAACTTGGGAAGTTGAGATGTTCCTTGGTTGCCTCTAGTGTGAGTTTTGGTGCCAGGATCTGCTTGGGCTTAGCAAGAATGAGTAGGAAAGGTGCAAGTTGCTTTGTTGAGGCAGCAGCTGTGCACAGATGAAGAAAGAAAGGGTAGAAACTTCTGGAATTTGGCTTTCCAGTTGCTGCCATGAAACTGGATGATACTTAAAGTGATGATTGATAAAGTCACTGGTCCTTTCAGCTGCTGATGGTGTGACTAGAAATGTGTAGGGCAATGGTTACTCAAATTATAGATGACTTGAAATAAGACTGAGCTAAACAAAAAGCCAAAGGAAAGTTATTAATATGAAAAAGTAGCACCAGAAACATGGTAATTTAATGTTGTATCTTTCAGAACTCATTGCTCAGGATAATGTTTTATTACCTCTGGAACATGTAAATTCAGCTAAAATGGATGAACCCATATCTACACCAATCACGAGAGAAGGCAGGAAGTGTCCACTTCAGGTAAGGATGCCTCTGGAATTCCACTAATGCCTAAAGAAATGGTGCCCTGGGTTATATTTGCCTTATGGCAGGACCAGCCCAAGACTCATTTGGCAGTTATGACATTAAGTAAGAATCAGTCTGATGTGTTGGTTACATTCACTTCAACTAAACACTAAATTTTGATCTGGGCTGGTTCACCAGTTTTCCCACCCCTTCCATGTTCTCTGTGCTCTTAAGTGGTGACAATGGGTTTAACCCATCTCCTGTGGGTAAGTGCTGTGCTGCTCCAGGGGAAACTAAACCTGTTCCTAGAGCACTAAACTATTTCCCAGAGCATCTGCAGAGACCAGTCCCTTCCCTATTTCCCACCTCACTGATACAGCCCCAACATGGATATAAGTGCTCAGGAGTCCCTATGTCCTTATATATCTTAGGGATAACATGTAAATTTAATCTGATCTCAACTATTCTTTCTGCCAGCAAAGATATTTCCCTTAAGATATTAACTGTGTCTCTTAAATATTTACATTCTAGGAGCCTGTGCTGGAGGAAAAGGCACTTTTTTCAAAGCCAAAGGTGGATCCTAAAGGCAATGAAGATATTAGTCCATGTGGCAGCAAGTTCACAGTGAAAAGCTTGGGGATGCTTTCTACCTGGTGTAACTTGTGCATGGTTCAGGCAGAGAATACTCCTGAAAAAACAGGTAAATCATATTTAATGCTATTATGTCCAATCTGTTTCAACCACTTCACTCAAACTTCAATCCAGACAGAAAGAGAGACAGTCTTCTCATTTATTACCAAAGTGTCTTGCTCACTATATCCAATATATAAATCAGTGCTGGGCAAGATGGGGGGGATCTCTCCAAGGTTTATTAGGAGATATGATTACACTGCTTCCTCAGAACAAAATTATAACTTATTCTGATTGTATCATTAACAATTTAGCCTCTTTTGAGGCTTTTTTTTCAGTAATTTAGGGGTGTTCTTTTTAAAAGAACATAGATCAGTTGAAGATAGACTTTGACAGGACACGCTGGAGTTATTTTTGTTTCCAGGTTTTATCCTCAGTTCATATTTCTTACTCCTCAGTAGGACATATAAAAAAATAAAACTGTCTGTTTATATATGAGTCAGTTATATCATTTGCATAGTTCTGGGTATGCATAATCTCTGTATTATAAATATTTACATATTGTGGCACTATTTTGTATTTGTGTCATTTTTCTAATGAACCATCTTTCTGCATTTAATCCTGGATACCATAGTGAGGGAGACTATAGATTTGTGGATCCCAAGTGATCTATCAGCAACCTCTTCTAGAAAATACCTTTTAATGAAATGCTGATTTAAAAAAAATTCTTTTAAATGTTCCAGTTAAAGAAGTGGAAGTGCCTGTTTCTTCTGAGATCCATCAGCTGGATGACAGTCAGTGTTTGAAGCATTTGGACCGTGTTTCTCATGAAGCTTCTGATGAAGAACTAAATTTAAAAGCGTTTTCTGAAGGATTTGCTTCCACTGAATCATCATCCAAGTCAAACAACTTCTTTTTGAAATGTGAAAGTGCCAAATCAGCCTCTTCACCCCCAGAATTTCAGAGGGTGTCTGCAGTTCGGATTGACATCTCGGAAAGCTCCATTTCAGATTCAGAATTAGAGCTGAAACATGGAGAGGGCACAGCTGTCAGTGTCCCAGAAGAGTTTGTCCATCACAGTGGTGATGTGTTTCCTGATCTTTCAAAAGAGGTGCCAATAGCAATAAGTAATGGAAAGGAAACATCACTTACTGATGAACATGAACTGCCTGAAGATGACAGCGCTGAGATTTCATCACACTCCCAGAAATACCCTGGAGATGTGTTGGATCGTGGCTGCACTGATCATCTGCTTTCTTTCATTCCAGCAGACAAAGCAAATGCCTCCAAAACCAAGCCAGCACGTTCCTCCCAGTCTGATAACCCTGAGGAGAGAATGGATGAGCCACATCTGGGTGCCTCTGGAAGCTCCAGTAGAAACAAATCCTGTCCTCAGGAGGTCACAAAACAGGGTAATGATGCATCTGCCAGTTCTTCATGCAGTGATGATATTTACTCACCTAAGATCTATGAACAGCAGAAACCTAATTCTACGACTAACAGAGTGTTAGGGGAAATTAACTGTTCATTTGTGAATCAGAATAGAAACCTCATGGGTTTTCCACCAACAGTTTCTTTGAAACATCGAAATTTAGTTACTGACCAGCTTGGGAACACTGTTTCTTTTCTGCCTGACAGAGATTTTGCAAATAACAAATTGCTAACAAGTCTGTCTCCCCAGAGGGGACTCTTTTCTTCTGCCTCCTCAAAAAAGCAATTGTTTCAGGCTGAGAACTGCTCTTCCAAAGGAGAAGATGATGCAACCTCTATTAGTGATAAGGGTCTCTCTCCAACTGCTGAGGATGCCTTGTCGGAAATCCTCTCTCCCGTGGATGAAGTATTGTCCTATGGAAGTGCTGACTTGCCATCCTCTAACAAAAAGGATTTGTCATTTCCAAGTGAAGATCTTCGTCCTCGCTCTTTAGGTGCAGGTGCAACGAAAAATGATGATCCTACCTCCAGCACAGATGATTTCCCATCCCCACCAGAACAAATGACAGGCTCAGAGGCCGGTCAGGGTATGGATGAAGATATATCACTGACAATGGATGCATTACCCCCATTACCTGATAACATCATGCCTCAAGAATTTCCCCTGCTCAGTCAAGAGACAATTGATGCTTTTTCAACTCAGGCTGGTTGTCTCTCAGAACAATCTTCACTTCAAGCCATTTCCAGCTCAAAGGAGGACTTATCAGAACACCAACAAGGAGAACACGAGGCACCTTTGCAGCATTTGGAGCTCCAGCCTGTGTCAAACTCTGTTTCTTCTGGCCAGGCCAGTAAAAGTCCTGACTTATTAATGAAACAATGTACAACACACTTCATGCTGCCCAGCACTGAGGGGGACAGTGATGACCCATTGCTATCATTTGAAATTGGGGACAGAGTGCTGGTAAAGCAGAGCCAGCCTGGAACCCTGATGTTCAAAGGACAGACTCATTTTGCCAGTGGCCACTGGGCTGGTGTTGCACTGGACAAAGCTGAAGGTGACAGTGCTGGAACTTACCAAGGGGTGAAGTATTTTGAGTGTGTCTTTGTCAGGCCTGAGGAGATCTCACTCCTGTTGGGGGATAATAAAAAGACTTCCAGTTCCACTGGGGATGAAGACTCTGACTCCTGTGATGATGAACCCTTCAAAGGGGACTGCAGATATTCTGGAGGTGATGAGCAGAGAGTGGGGTTTACAGAGGAGAAAGCAGAAGACACAAAAAGTGCAGGAGGTTCAGAAGTAAAAGAAAGCCAGCCCAGGTTACACTCTGCCTTGCTGTCTAGAAAAGATCAAAAGTTTCCACATTGCAACCAGTATAAGTGTACAGAATTTCTCTGTCAAAGGAACTTAATGTGCTTGGGATCAGATAAGGAAAAAACAGAACTGGCACAAATAAGACAAAGGATAATTGCAGCTGTGCTTCCAATGAAAAGCAAGACCAATAACACAGATGAGGTAAACACAAGCAAAAATATTTGTTGCTTGGTAGAGGATCAGAAAAGAATTAAACTTGCTGATGATGTTGCAAGTGAACTCGGTAAAAAACTTCTGTTTGACGTTTTAATTGCATTTTCTGAAACAGCTCAACACAAATATAAAAGTGCCTTTGAAAAGGACATGATGAATTACAGCAAAGGCCTAAGGCAAGGAGACAATCAGAAACTGTTTCTCCTCAAAGAAAATTCAGCTGCTGTCTTATCTGAACCATCAGCAAAGGTTTCTGATGTTTTCCTGGGTGATTTTGATACGCTTTGTATTCATGGTTGTCACACAGTAGCAGAAAGAATTGTAACTAAATTTATAGATGATGCAGTTAAAGCATATAAGAAGATTAAAAGAAAACATGGATCAAAAGCAGATAAGATACTTCATTTATCTTCAGAGACTTCTCCAACCACTCTGCCAGTAAGTACAGTGGGAGAGTTTTTATTTAAAGCGTTGGACCTGAAGCTGGGTCTATACAGGCAAGAATTTGTGTGGCCCAGTTTTTCATCATTCATGAAAATTACATTGTGTCAACCTTAGGAACCAGGTTTCTGCCTTAATCTGACCCATTCCTCATTTAAGGAATTATCCCACGGCCAGTTGGATAGCATGTGTATGAGGGGAAAGGATGAGCTGAGCATGGGGATAAGAGCTACAGATAGTCCAAACAAAGCAAATGGGAACTTCCCTGTTGGAATTTGTCACTTGTCAAAACTGATAAATCTGCACAAACTTGATTTTGATTCATTTCAGAGCAAACCTGGGCACTTGTCAGCTCTGCCTAAGTCCTTTGCAGCTCCTGGCTGTGAGAAAACTGCTTTGGGGGGAGAGCAGTCCACCTTTAGAACAAAAATGTTTCAAAATGTCAAATTTTCATGGAACTTCAGATTTGGAATTCTTCCTAATTCTGAATTTTGCCCAATGCAGTTAAAATAGGTATTTTTTAAATGATGTATCACTAAGGCTTTCTATGAGACCATGAGTAAGAAGACGGTTTTAAAAGTAACCTTAATTAGTTGCTAATAATCTCAATACCTCTAAAAATTGTGGGAAAACATAGAGTATATCATCTGGTGCCTTTTTTTTTTTTCCTCTCTCCTGAAGTTCCTCAATAAAATCCTTGATGCTGGTGTTTTTGGAAGCTCTGAAGACTTTGTTCAGCCTAATTCTGACCAACATATGCTGGTGAGACAAAGACAAAAGCAATACTTGTACAAATTAGATCAGTGGCACTCAGCTCCTTGGAAGAAAACTGTGGAAGTTCCTCTTGTGATACCACATTACAGTTCTTACGTTAGAAACTTGTCTGGATGTGCTGTAGAAGAATTATGGACCCCAGAAAACATAAATTCAAATTTCAGGAGCATCAGTGTGCCAAAGCTCTCTGAATGTAACGATTTCCCAGGGAATGATTTGGAAGCAGAAAGCAAGAGGATGTATAATCAGGTATTTTTAAAGCACCACCTGTTAATTAACATTTCTGGTGTTTTGTAAGCTGACTCAGATAATATTTAATATTAATCTGACTGCTAACACAAAGTGTAGCTAAAGGAACACTGGAAGGTACTGCAAAGTAAAGCTGGTGATCTACTGCAAAATAATTCCAGTAGAATAGAGGTTCTTGCTGTGAATCAAGGCTTTTGCCAGAGTTCTTCAGACTTGAGACCCTGGACACCTGACACCAGCTGTAGGAACCTCAGTGATGCAGGTGCTGTCAGGAAATCCTGCCCTAAGATTCAAACCTCTCCTGTCACCCTCCAAAATCCTTCAGAAGTGCTGAGAAAGTGTTTGAAAGGGCATCGGTGAGAGGTTCAGTTGTGTCAGTGCTGTGGTTTTGTTGTTCCAGGTTATATTTGATTTGACCCGGGAGTTGTTACGTGCAGAATATCAAGTGACTGCAAATCCAAACACTTTCCCGTGGATGAAAATAAACGTGGGATCTCGCTGTTCCAGGAGAACAGATGTCAGTGATGTCAAGGTACGTTCTGGGAATGTGAAGTACAGTAACAAGAGTCAGTGAAGAGAGCAGGTGTTGCAATGGCAATGAGAAATGGGAAATTTGGGAGGGTTATGGCAGTGGAACTGATTGGGGAAGAAAACAGCATTGCCCTGAAATGCCTGAATAAATACAGACTGAGCTGATCAGTCAAAAGATTCCAAATGTATGGAGCTCTGTAGAGGAATGAGCCTAAATCATCCTAATTATGACTACTTTAGATTTAACTTTAAAAGTAATATTATGACTAAAATGTGTTGATTGGCCAATATTGATCAGTTCTTAAACTTGGGGAGTTTTCTGGCCTCAAAGCTGAATCTTCAGTGCCTGTCACTGATCTACAACATTCACAGTGCCACAGTTCCTATGAGGCAAATCCTTTCCAGCCTTTTTTTCTTTTGTAGACGTTTGTTCAGGGTGAAATTATTAAAATAATGAACCTGGAAAAGAATGACTTAGAAATGAAAAGAAAATTCCTAAATATGACCAAGTATGGAAACTGTAAGAGAGACAGACTGGACCTTATTCTGGTAAGCAGACTTCCAAATTAGAAAGTCTTGTGCTTTTGTGAGAATCATATTTTCTTAATTACTTCAGAACTTCAAGTTATTGCTTTTCTTTTCAGCACACTTGCAATAATAAATCTAGTATTTCCCGTTCTGGTGAGTAGTTTAATATAGCAATATATAAAAAATATTTTATTATATGTCTTATATACATATATAAAGCTGTTGGATTGGGTACAGTGTTTCAGTACCTTTCAGAACCAACCATATTCCTCCTCTTGAGCTTATTCTTGTTATATTTTAGATTCAGGAGCTCCGTAAAGAAGAGTCTCAGTGGACTTATTATGGTGATGATGAATTAACAGTGAAGATGAGGATGACTGAAGGCATATTTAATAGCTTGATCCTTGATACAATCAGAGTTCTTAATAAGATTTATCTGAGAAAAGCCTGTGATTAGAAGTTTTTCCTCATGGGCCCTAATGGAGGAATTTTAATCTCTGATTTTTTCCTTTATTTTTCAGTCAAGAAATGAGTGATTTAAGAACTTTAGCTCTGAATTTGTACCCAATACCAGTGTGGCCTTGGCCTAATTTGTACATTCATATTTATGAAAGGATCAAGGAGAGACTTATGCAGACAGAAAAATATTACACAGAATATTCTCCTTGTGTTCTGTGCTTTGGGAAGGCTCATTAAGATCAACGGTCTTCTTAGATGTCACACAGATTCCAAAGGGGGGAAATTTTATTCTTTTTTTATTATTATTTAAGACTGCACTTTATCTGCTCTGAAGAGCACAATGTGTTTTTAAAATTGTATACAAGTCTCTACAAACAGGTTTCAGAACCAATTTGTGTGCAAATGATCTTACTTTTGTTATCATGCTCAGGTTGTGAACGATGACAGGTGAATCATGCTTTGAAAATTGTGTTCAGAAAATCCTTGGTGACTGTCTGAAGAATGTAAATGTGCAGATGGAGTTAAATCTCCCAGATCCTGAGTTGCTGTGGGCCTCTGTAGTTTGGAATAAACTCCTCTAACTGGAACAAGTCTAAAACTTTTCCTGATGGGTGCAACAGATTTAAAAGTGTGCATTACTATTTTTTTTTTAATACACTGTGGAACTGGTTAAAAATAGCCTGCAGAAGGCTTTAGAGATGTGGATAAGGAATGGCAGGACCCAGAGCCAGATACTCAGTTTAAATGTCTATAATGTTATGTAAATGAGACAAATACTGATGTAATGCACTTTAAATGGGAGACTTTTCTATCAGTAACTTGAGTGTCTGTCAGTTAAATATGTGCATGTGATTTGGGTTATTTATCACATGAGTCTGTTGCATTCTTACAACATCTCAACATAGGGTGCTGAGGATGTACTTTAACTGGCAAAACAGAGGAAATCAATAATCCTTTTGTAATGGCAAAATGGGAAAAACCAAGATTTTAACAAGGAACTAAAAGCATTCCCTGAGCATGGTAATTGGTTCACTCTGTAAATTGCTGTCCCACCTATTTTGCCTTAGTTGTTTTCATGCTCAGTTGTTTCATATTGTATTCTTTCCTGAATAAACAAAATAAACCACATGTAAAACATTATTTGTTCTGAAATCAATTGGAATGGCAGATTATATCACAGGCTGCTATTCTCAGCAGTGACTGGGAGTACTTTTGTTTTGCAGACAGTTCCTGAGGACATTAAACCCTCCCCTGCTTGTTGCCATATGAACAGAAATAAAAAGGCAACTTCTGCCCTGAGCTTATTAACTGTTGATCTAATCCTAGGAACTATTTTCATGTCCCTAGTGGTACATTTTCTTAAGTCTCTGACTTTTATCCTCATTGATCAGTTAATCCAGATAAGTTATTTGTTTTCTTATTGTCAGTTTATAGTAGAATTTAACTCAATTTTTTTCTCCTGGACTTGCAGATTGTGGGATACAATGACAAATCTATATATTGAAGTGCTCTGGTTTTTCAGTTTATTGTCACTCTGCTTTTACAGCAGCAGCAGGATCCTTGTGTTAAAAATATCACTTATATAAGAAATAATAGTTGAAGGACTCGTTTGATTTCAGACTGGTGCCTTATGTTCCACCTGAGGCTGATAACCATCATATTTGCAATTAGGTTTGTGAGTGAAACTTGAACCCTCACAAGATGCTCTGCAGGGAAGGACACAGCCATAAAGTAACTCCTGATGAGAATAAAAAGTGCATACACAGAACATGTCAGACATGTTTAATATCCCCCACCATTCTGTGCTCAAAACCTGAGATTCTGGCACCCAGATATATTGACCTGTTCACTCAGTGGCAAGACTTCAATATCAAGATTACTCTCCTTCAAGGTCTAATATTTTGTTTGCCTTGGGTTTGATCAATATTAACCTCCTGGGTCAATAAATCTTGATAGTAGCCTCAAGAGGAGTCATTATCTTTCATAGAAAATGATTATTTCTCAGTTAAACCCTACATTTAATTTTCCTGTAATCCATCTCTTTCATCTTTATACATTTAACAATTCTTCTGAATAAAATGTGCTCTAAAATATCTTTGGCACTGTAGATTTTTAAAATCCTAATTAGCAGCTGCCACAGGATTTTTCAATTCTTTGAAGCTGTTGGACTCTGCTCTTGTACCCATCTATTTTGTTGCTTGTTGTACCCAGGAAAAAGAGACAGAAAACCCCAAAGCTGGGATGTGATATAAGAAATCATTTAGCCTGTAGTGGGGGATATGGATCAAAAGAAATGTGACTGAACCACTTCAGATATTAATGGTCAAAAAAAGAGATGATCAGGAAAAGAAAAGGCAGAAGGGGAGAATCTGTTACTCAAGTCTCAGAGAAATTTTACTGTAATTAAATTTCCACCCTTGTATTGTCTGTGGGTTACTGACCAGAAACAATGATAAATTAAATTATAACCTCTGGATTTACACTGGTGGGCCTGAAGTAAGAATTTAGGCCCGTTTGTTTCCTACTTGTTCTTCAAGGATTAAAAGAAGTGCTTTTGAGTAACAGAAGCAAGAATTATATTTTCAGACACCTCAGTCTTTAATTATCTAAGTTTTAAACTCCTCTGAAATTGTCCTCTGGGGGTGTTGTTGGTTTTCTGCCTCCCATTAATGTAATGAAAGTTCTTAAGCCTGTATTTAGAAATGAAAGGAGATGTCCATACCGTGGCCAGAGCTATAAAAGGTGCTAAAATCCATTACTAGTGCACATCCAACCTCAATTTATGGAAAGGACGGAGTTTTTATCAACCTGCCCAAGTGCAGCCTTTGATCAGAGACTCAGTCTGAGGAGAAATGGCTCTTCCCTGCTGAGAGAGGTACTTTGGGATGAAACAGCTCTCAACTCAGAGGCCACAAGGTGTTCAACTCTTCTCAGTGAGAAGCTCTGTGAAGTTGAAACTTCTGTTTCCATATCAATTGTCACATAAATTTGGCCACCGAGCGATCTCAAAGTATCACAGGATGGGTCAGGTCGGAAGGGACCACGGTGGGTCGTGGAGTTCTGCAGAATGTCCTCGTGGCCCGTAAATTGTGCGTTCTTTGTACCCCTATCAGTGGTACGTCTTTCTTCCCAAGCTTTAACTTCTCCCTAGGCCGAGACCATTGAAGTGTGTCCAGCCCTAGACCTTAACAACTCTACCAACAAGTAATTTGTTTTTTCTGGCACTCAGACATCACTCAGAGCTTGCTTATTAGCTGCTGTTTCACAGATTAAACCTCCCTTCTTGTTGATTAGGCTTGAAAGGCCGAACATCAAAGAACATCATCCCTTATGAAAATTTTTACATAGTCCACATTTTGAAGGGCTCTGGGGACATGGGGCAGTCTCTTCTCCCCTCAGGGGACACAGGACAATAGTCGCTCCCCTCTCAGGGACACAGGATAGTCCTCGCTGCCCTCAGGGGATACGAGACACTCAGGGGACAGGTGACACTTCTTGCTTCCCTCAAGGACATAGGAGAGTCCTCGTTCCCCTCAGGACACGGGACATTCTTCTTTGCCCTCACAGGGAATCAAGACTGCTCGTTTTCCTTACAGGGACACAGGACAGTCCCTGGTTCCCTCAACACACAGGAGAATCCTCGTTCTCCTCACAGGGAATCAGGACACTGCTCGTTTTCCTCACGGGGACACAGGACACTCCTCATTCCCCTCAGGGACACAGGACAGCCCTCGCTCCCCTAAGGGCACACAGGACACCCCCTCAGGGACACGGGGCACTCCTCGCTCCCCTCAAGACACGGGACAGCCCTTTCTCCCCTCAGAGCACCCCTCACACCCCCAGGCCGGGCCGCCATGGCCGGCGCGTTGCTATGGCGCGGCCCCGCCCCGCCCCTCTCCGCGCGTCCCAACATGGCGGCGGCGGGCGGGGGGCGGCGGGCGCTGCTCCCGCTCCCGGTGCCGCTCCCGGTGCCGCTCCCGCTGCTGCTCCCGGTGCTCCTGGCGGCGGCCGCGGCCGCGCGGCTCTACCGGCCCGGCCACGACCCGCTGACGGTGCTGACGGCCGGCTCGGTGCGACCGGCGCTGCTCAACTCCTCGACCGCCTGGGTGGTGCAGTTCTACAGCTCGTCCTGCGGCCACTGCATCGCCTTCGCTCCCACCTGGCGGGCGCTGGCGGGGGACGTCAAAGGTGAGGCTGGGACCGGGTCGCGGCCCCCCGGCACTGCCCTGACCGCGGCCTCCCGGTGCCCGGTGCCGGTGCAGGGCCGCGGCGGTGCCCGAGGGGCGCTGGGCTGGGGGGCCGCGGGGCCTCGGGCGCTGTGTCAGCCCTGGGCTGTGCGGGGTGGTGTGTGAGCCGCGGGGCCTCGGTGTGTGAGAATCACCCTCCTCCCAGTGCCCTGGTGGTGTTCTGAGTGTGGGCATCACCCCTCATCCTCTGCCCTGGTGGTACCTCGGTGTGAGAGCATCACCTCTCATCCCGCTTCCCTGGTGGTGTCTTGTTGTGTGAGCGTCATACCTCGTCCCACTTTCCTGGTGGTACCTTGGTGTGTGAGCATGACCCCTCATCCCACTTCCCTGATTTTATCTTGGCGTGTGAGCATCACCCCTCATCCCGCTTCCCTGGTGGTGTCTTGTTGTGTGAGTATCATGCCTCGTCCCACTTTCCTGGTGGTACCTTGGCATGTGAGCACAACCCTTCATCCCAGTGCTCTGGTGGTACCTTGGTGTGTGAGCATGACCCCTCATCCCACTTTCCTGATGGTACCTTGTTGTGTGAGCATTATGCCTTGTCCTACTTTCCTGGTAGTACCTTGGCGTGTGAGCATCACCCCTCATCCCACTTTCCTGGTGGTACCTTGGCATGTGAGCATAACCCCTCATCCCCCTTCCTTGATGGTACCTTGGTGTGATAGCATGACCCCCTCATCCCACTTCCCTCGTGGTACCTTGGCATGTGAGCATCTTTCCTGGTGGTCCCACGCTGCCAGAATGGCACATGGGACAGAGCAAGGCATGGGTGGTGGTAGCACATCCCCAAATTAAAGGTTTCATAGGAATCCAGGGATAAAACATCACCTCACACAGAGTGATCCAGCCGCGGGATTTACACTCGAGCATCCATGTGTGCCCATGGGAGGTTTGTTTAGACTGAACTCTTGGAGGCAAAACGTTTATCTTCTGAATGTTTTGTAAAGGGAACAGCCTACTTTGGAAGCTAAATAAAAAACATTGTGGTACTGGAAAGACCGTGAATGTATTTGATCTATATCTTGCAAATTCAACATAGTGTGGATGACCTAGAAGGGAAAAAAGGACCACCAGGAAATAATACAAAAATCAAGCAAAGTGAGAACCAGGGTTTCAGATTTATCACATAGTGAATTAAAAAGAAGTGGTGGCCTCCCCAGCTTATACTGAGGGACCTGCCTTGCTGTGTCAACCTGCTCAGGTTTTTTGGCAGGTGCTGAAGTGTTTTACTCTGGTTTTACATGTAAGGAAACAAACAGGCCCCCCAGGTATTGGTTACATTCAATACCTCTGTTGGGGAGGAAACCAGAGATCAGATTTGTATGAAATGTTATTCTTAACATAGTGGTATAAAAGGCTTTTAAACTGTTCTTAATTTAGCATTTCACCCAGGAGATCTTTCCAGGGTGGAACAGCAGTTCTAATGCACTCGTGGTTTCAGTTTGAGAGGGAGTGAAGAGCTCTGGCTCTTCTCTGACACCCTGAAAACTGTTAACAACTAACAGGAGATGTAGGTGCAGTGTTAGATGTACATGGATTTAGATCTATGGAAATGAAGGCCCACCCAAAAATAGGTCCTGAGGAACTCACCACACACTGAGGAATTCTGTCTGATGAGCAGAGGCTCAAAACCAGAGAAGTCATGGTTTCAGAGCAGTCCAAATTCTCCTTGCTTATATGGGGGAGTTGTTTATAAAACCAGTGGCTTTTTTCTGTTTAATCTGCATAAATTTATGTAACATTTTCACTACTGCTTTGATTTGCTTCTGGCCAAAATATATTAGATTTTCTTCTTCTTTGAAGTAACAAGGAAGTGTTTGAGTGCTGCAGTGAAGGTCATGGAGAGCCTGAACTGACCAGAGCTTTTGTCAAAATAAAACAGGTTTATATACATAAACATGTTTATATATTAATACAGCAGTGTGATACCTTTGTAATTTGTAATGACTTCTTCAAATACATATTTTCTTTCTCACCTGCAGTCATGATAACTGCAAATTCTGTTCTGCACTTGTATTACTGGAACCACTTAAAAGGCCTTTCTCCTCTTTAGTCCTTTGAATTTTTATGAAGACTTTCATTTAGAGAGTGGATTCTGATATTTGTGGACATTGGCACTGCCAGCAAATGCAATTGGATTCTGGTGTTATTTGTCAGGAAAATGTTTCAATTTTCAAGTTGGAATGAATGGATTTTAGGAGGAGGCTGAGAACAGGCACACTTTTCATTGGGAGCTTCATCAAAAAAACCAAAACCCAGAACGTTTTGCCCACTTAGGCTGTCTCAACATTTATTTTTAAAAAATATTTACTCCTCTGCTAGGATATTAAAGCTTTCCTTGAGGATGCAGGTTCATTTACATTAGGATCACTGTGGATGTGTTTGCTGATTTGGTACCTAAACAAAATCCAGTTAAATCAGTGCTACTACTTTGTCCATAAAAGGCCTGTGCTAATAGACTTAATTTTTATTTTTATTTCTCATTTGTTAAATCTTGGCAATACAACCATTGCAGATTTCATAGAAGAACATAATCCTCCTGAAAAATAGGATCAGTGCTTGCTTTTGTGTAATTTATGTTTTGATTTTGATACTCCCTCTCCTCTCAGAACAGGCTTTACGCTCAGAATCACAGTTCATCTTATTATGGGAGTGGCCAAAGTGGCCATTAGAGTCAACTGCCTTTTTTCTGTCTTAAAAGATGATTGAATCTATCCAGCAAAATGCCAGTGGGCTGGAATCATGTGGTGATTTTCTGTGCAGATGGTACAAAAACCCTTAAAAAACCCATATATGACAACCCTTCAGTTATACACAGAAGCAACCCACTCCTCAGGATTTGGAACAACTCTTCCAAATCTAGCAGTTGTTGTTTCAAACACAGCAGTAACAATTTCCTTCTAGAGATTGTTCTTTGAACACGTTTGGTGGGGAACTGTAGAAACCCTTCTCATCCTTCAGGAGGTGTTAAAATAGGCAGCTTTCAAGTAGCACGTGGGGAGAGGTGCCTTGGGATGAGATGTGTGACCTGAAACTTCCTGATGGCAAACACCCAGCTGGAGAGGAAGTTTCTGAAAGGGAAGCACATTCCTTGTAATTCACTGGTTGGAGTTTGTAGCATTTCTCGAGTGGGAGGTTGGACCAACCTGTGGATTCCAGTTTGTCCAAGACAATCCTGTTCATTCACTGGAACTTGTTTAGCGTGAACAGAAGTTTTGCTGGTTAATATGTCACTCATCTGCCTCTTTCACGTGGTTTGTGAGGCGCTATTTCAAAACTACTAATGTTAATTTAAAATTAATCAGCATTTTAAAGAAGCCGGTCCGGGCTGCAGTGGCACTGGAAGCTCCACAGTGTGGGCTGTGCTTCCAGCAACGCTGGCATCCCTGAGAAAGGAAAAGCTGCTTTTCCAGCAGCAGGAATGCTGAGCAACACACTCCCCAGCTGGTGCTCTTTAACCCGGGGGGGTTTAGCTGGGCTGGGGGTGCTTTGTTGTGTGGGGGTTTATTTGCATTGGGATCACAGAGCTCCTATTCATGGCGCAGAGGAGGATCCAGACAGGTGGAAAAAGGAGGAGGAGTGCTGGAAGTTGAATGGGAGAGATACCCAGAAGCCAAACTTCCCTTTTGTATTTTGCATTTTATTTGATGAAATGGACTGTTGTGTCCTTTGTGCTGCTGTGAATACGTGCCCATCTGCTCCAGCGTGTTTGTGGGGTCTCCTGGTGCCCGCTCAGCTCTTGGCATGTTCAGCACAAACCTCTCCCTCGGCTGCCCCATCTCCTCCAAAGACAAATAAAGGTCAAGCTAAGTTTCAAAAGCAGTTTGGCAAAGCAGCTCTCCATCAGCTCTTGAACTTGATGAAGCTTTCATGCTCTTTGCTGTAAAAGCAAGTTTAATTTTAGTGCTTTTTAAATTTTATTGATACTTGGGAATTGGGGGGGACCTTGAAATTCTGCCCACGGCTGGTTCGATTTAACTTTGCTTTAAAAAGGAGCTGTCTAAGGATTCCCTTGGAGTGGTTCTTCCTTAAAGTGATTGCTGCAGCACAGCCTGGCTCAAAAAGATAAGTTCCCAGCAAAAAGAGAAGGAAAAAGCTGTAAGTCAGTTGAAAGCTTTTATTGAAGTTACATAAGCACATTTGTAGAAATACTTGAACTCTTGTGGTTACTGCTATGAAACATGTATAAAGAAAACTCACAGTGATGCTCAAACTCAACTATTTAGCAGTCTGGTTAAAATGCAGGTGTTTTTTGAGGTATATCTAATGTATTTCTGAACAGTGCTGATGGATAAAGACAACTCTCAGCAGACACTGTGTGAGCTGGGGGTTGTGTGCAGTCGTGAGGCCTCACAGAAAATTGTAACTTGGAGGAAAAACAGCTTGTTAAAAAACCTGTAGTACAAGATACATTGAATTTATGGCTTTGTAATTGACAGCCATGTGGATGAGTAACTGCTGGATTAATTTTATTCAGTTCTATGTTCTGCATGCCTTATTTTATGAGCATAACTAATGGGAAAAGCTGGGGAATTCAAGCCGGGGTCCTGATGGGATGACCCCAATTTCGTCTTCCTGGATTCAGTAAAATGCCTTCAGGCTCGGAACTGCTGCACTGTCTGTTGAGATTCCTCTTGTTTAGATGCATTTAAAATCCTGATGCAGCCAAGAAAAACAGGGAGGTTTTAGTTATTCTAAAAATCAGTAGCTCGTGTTACACTCGGGGGTAGAAATGAGCAGCAAATGAGAATCGACCGAGGGGTGGATTTTTATGCCACTGGAATCTGTCAGAGTCCTGTTCCTGCTTTCCATGGGAAGCAGGGTAATCCATCAGCTGGGATCCCTGATCACTTCTGCTGAAAATTGAAAGGTTATCTTTGTTTTCAGACTGGGAATCTGCAATTAGACTTGGTGTGCTGGACTGTGGGGAAGAGGAGAACTATGAGACCTGCAAGGAATATGGTATTCACTTTTACCCAACCTTTAGGGTAAGTGGCAGAACATCCTGCCTTAGGTAAATAATGCATGTTTTGTAGTAAGTAAAACCATAAAATTATGTATAACTCGTTGTTCTTTAACTGGACTTCTACTTTGCTTTTTCTGAGAAAACTGCAAACTTGATAAAAGATTAATTTGAGGGTTTTTTTGCTGAATGCAAGAGCTGATCCAGCTCTTTAGAGCAGGAATTCTGAATCTGGAAAATTCTCATGCAAAGTACTGTGTTGTTACATTTATCATTTTAATAGATTCATTAGATAACAAGAATTTGTACAAATATTTTTCAAATTCAAATGTGTGAAAGTAAAGGAAACACATGGGAATTGCCTCACGAAAACAGCTGATTTCATGACCAATTAAAAATTTCCCCTTGATTGATCATTCACTATTTTTCTAATTAATTTCATAATTTGCTTAAAGTGGCTTTTAAAAGGATCTTGTGTTAACCAGAAGTATCTGCATTTCTATATCTAAATGCAATTTTACCTTCTCTGTCTCTGTCAGTCTGTATAATCACATTTTTAACTGTAAGTCTGAGCAGAATGTGGTGGGTGGAGAGGATTGAATAAACTGTGTTTGTGATGAGGGGGAACAGGAGCCATTTCACTGTAGGATCTTTTGCCCTGAGAGAAAAAAACTGTATTTTTTTTAATCTTTACAGTTTTAGGTGTAAATTGGAACACAGTCTTTATTTTTCCATTTTATTTTTCATAGCAGAGGGCAGCCAGGCTCCCTTAGATCTCCTGTTTAACCACTGGAGGGAGTTGGGAAAATGTGAATTGTGTTCCAAGCATACACAGAGCTGATAACAGATTTGGGAATCAGTTCATTTGGGTTAATGTTTGCAGTATTCTTCCTCTAAAAGTTGGCTTTATTGATGTCAGAGTTCTGAGTGGTACACGTGAGATACCCTAAGGAAGGTGAGAAAGGTCTTTGGAACTCGTAGATTTAGAGGGAAAACTCAAAGATAAAAATGTTTTGTAGTTAGACCTGTAAAAGTAAAAATTCTTGAAAGCCATTTTTGGTTTTGTCTGGTACAGTGACTTTTCTTTTCTCCCCCATAGTACTTCAAAGCATTTACAAAGCAGTTTACCACTGGAGAAGACTACCAAGGTAAGAATATCCAACTGTAAGGAATCCCAGGGGAGTTTTCCTGTGAGCCAGGGATGTGTCACACAACGAGCAAAATCCCTTTGCCTGTCAATTAGTTGGGACAGAGATGGGATGGACACTAAATAGCTTTTTAAGACAGGATATTCCAAGTATTGTATGAAAATGGAGCGTTAGGTAGAATTTTAGACAGAACTTAGGGCTCACATCCCTCATTTTAATTTTAAATAAAGTTCTTAATTTTCCCAAATGTCTTGATAATTTGTTTTTAAATTCCCTTTTTATTTTTTTCCCACCACACACCTCATCAGCAGGAGATCCAATTTGCTCAGTCCTGACTCTGGTGCCTTTTGATCTGTGAGCCACTTTTCCAGGCATCCTGAATTGCCCTGGCAGAGCCCCTATTCGGATGTTGCCCAACTGAAACCAGGCTTATCCCCCCTGTGTGTGACAGGATCACAGCTTGAGGTGGTTTGTCTGGGACAAAAGTGATGTTGTGTCTTTCAGTGGATTAACATTTAAAAGGCCAGAGGTCAGAGGAGGGACCACCTGCACCATTAACCCTTCCTGGCCAAGAGAGCCACGCTTGTACCTGGGGCTTTTTGGCATTTGTGACAATTCCTGCTTTTTAACTGGTCTCTCTTCAAGCAAATCAAATATTCTCACACTCCAGTTATTTCCTCACATTGTCACCTGGCCCATTTGGTAGCATTGATACACCTTGGCAGTTTTTAATTCATGATTGATACCCTTATTGCAAAAAAAGCTCCTGGAGGTTTCACCAACTATTGTGAAAATGAGCACAAATTTAGCATTGTTTAAAGAGAAAAATCGGCCAGGCAGGCAGATGGGTAGATTTGGAAAAGCCTTGGAGTTTTATTAATTTTGGGGTGGGATGACAGCTTTTAAATATGATCTTATATTAACATTAAAATGAAATCCTGCAACTAAATCCTTAGTTCTTCAGCCAAATAGTATTCTGGGTTGTAAGTCTAAATTTAAAACAAAAACCTGACACAGCAAAGCATGAGAAAACCTGCCTGCACAGGAACTCACATTCACAGAAAACCTCCCTGTGAGTCCTTCTCCCCCAGGTTCTGAAGGGGTTGTATTTTCTGTAACCTGTTCTCAGGAGGAGCAGATCGAGAGCCACAAACAGTCCATCAGAAGATGATTGACTTCCTCCAGAACCATTCCCAGGAGGTCAGACCACCTGCTTGCCCACCCCTGGACCCAGTTTGGTAAGTTCCATGTTTCAAATGGAGCTGTTTATGTTCACTGAGTTGATTAAATAAAATATAAAGGGTCCTATTAAAGACAAAGCGAATTTTCTTCTTACTCTCAGTTCTGCTGTGAGATGGTAAAAGGAAATTCCATAAATATCAGTGGGTGTGTTGCATTCTGAATTTCTTCTCTTTTCTTTTGTTAAAAGGCCCAGTGATATTACTTCTCTTTTTGACAAGAACAGCCACCATTACACTGCCATCGTGTTTGAAAGCAACAGCTCCTACGTGGGACGACAGGTAACTGTGCCCTCTGACTGGCAGGATGTCTGGGAATGAATGTTGTCACAGCACAGCTGAATTTTAGGTTATTTAGCCAAGCAACAAACTGATTCTGGGACTGAATTCAAGGGTCATAAAGGGCAGGTCATGCCTGTTTGAGGGATCACAAAGCCAAGGGATTTTCTAGGGCAGTGCTTCTCACACAGAGGAACTTGCTTACAAAAGGTTGTGATGTCACGTTGACTTCTTCCATTCATGTTGCAGTGGAAGATTAATTTATCAACTTCACTGTTAGCACAGTTCTTTTTTTCTTTCCAGATTTGGAAGATCACAGGGAAAATATTGTCAGATTATGTTATTGTTTTGTTACTGCTGGAGAACAATTTGTGGTATTCATTCTTCCGGGCAACTTTTATGATTTCAACTGTTGATAATAATGTAAAATCTCGGGTTCCCTTTCTTCACATGTAAATTTTGGGAAATTCCGTTCTAAATCATCTAAAATCATCTAAATCATCTAAAAAGATGATAGCATAACATTATTTTCACATCTCTGAGACATGGAGGAAGTGGAAGCCTTTGGTTTGTGCTTCCCCCCATTCCACCAATAAAATATTTGATTTGGCATCTTTTCCCCACCTAATGAGCCTGCTGTTAGCTTAGACAACTGCTACTTTTCTCTTCCTGCCAAGATCTAGGATAAGTGAAGAAAATAAATTGCATAATTATCTGGGCATAATCTGTGTAGAAACATCCAATGTCTGCAAAATGTTTCTAATTAGATTTGATGCTGAGGTGGCCCAGTTGCATGAGGGGAGGAGAGTCTGCTGCCAAAAGGGAGAATCACTTTGGGAAACAGGCTGCTCTGCTTCCAGGCATTTGTTTTTGGAAGCTGCTGTGTTGATACAAGTGAGCACTACTGAAGAAAAGAAATGAGATTATAAAGTTCTTCAGCTTTTTATCACACTCGCTTTGATTTTTTTTTTTACCTGCTGCTACAGAGCAACACTGAGAGTCATCTGATTAACACAAAGTGAAGTTTGCCTTCAGAGGGAAGGATGTTTGCTGATGTCATGTAGCATTTTAGCTTTGTAGAATAGTTTAGTGAAATAGAAAATAACATTTTTTTTCATGTTTACAATATAAGACAATATGGGCAAACCCCACAGGACTCCCAACTCCTGAAGAAGGGAAGGCCACGTGTCATCACTGTGATGGAAGGAAGGAGGCAAAGACCAGGACAGACCAAGAAAAATAATAAAAAAAAGGAAGATAGGAGTAATAATTTCCAGAGAAGAGTAAATCTTGTTCCTATGCACAGAACAGTCATTGCTGCACTTCCTTGGCAAACAGCTTAATGATGCCCTTAAAGGATGATGCACTTCACCCATTTTTGTGTTTTGTCCTACAGGATTGGCCATTCCTTGAACAGTGTGTAATTCATGTCATCTTTTTGTTCCCCAGGTTATCTTAGACTTGATCCAGTATGAAAACATCGTGGTGAGGAGGGCCTTGAATTCTGACAAGGCTTTCCTGGAGAAACTGGGTGTTCCCTCAGTGCCCTCCTGCTACTTGATCCACCCAAATGGGTCCCATGGCTTAATTAACAAGTGAGTAATTATCACTCAGAGCAGTGTGAGGAGGTTCATTTAAGTTACAAAAAAAAAGCTTCTATGGATTCCTTTCACACAAAGCAAATTATTTTGTATCATCCTGTAATAATGACATGGTGTCCTGACATCTCATCAATGCACTGCACTGAGAGAAATTGTGTATTATTATCAATAAGTGACCTAATACTACTTTTACTTACCACTTTTGCCTATTTATGGCTTTAATTTATTGCTGTGATATATCTGAAATGAAAAAAACTTCGGAATAATAGTGGAAAAAAATAAATGAAGCATCAAAGTTCTTAAAAAAAACTTGATTCTAAGTCAAAATACTTGTTCCATGTGAACATTTTTTGTGTAAAGTGAAGGAATGTTTTGATGAATGTTATTTGTTCTTATTTTGAGTGGATTTTCATATTTTGAATGGAATTTCACACCACTAATCCAAATTGTTATTGCCAAATTGAACATTATTTCACTTCACTTTGTATGGAAACATACCATGCTACACTAGGACTGGAAAACATGAAGCAAAGTGAATATCTTGTTTTACAAATATAGTAATTTGCTTTGGACATTCACTTAGTCTGAGGTTAAAAGTAATCTCTCTTTGTTGTCCATTTCTGTGCAGTTTGAAGCCTCTACGCTCTTTCTTTTCTTCATATTTAAAGTCACTGCCAGGTGTAAGAAAAAAGCTCCTTTTGCCACTCCAGCTGCCTGCTCAAGAAAACAAAGAGGAGGGCACAGAAATCAAGGTGTGGAAAGAGTTTGATAAGTAAGTGATACCCTTGATTTTCAGATCAACACTTGGTTATTAAAATTTACTTTGCAGGGGGGTTTTTTTGCTGTGCTGTAATTTATAATAAAATCCTAGTGCAGTTCCAAATTTGACTTCATTCCATCCCAGAGGATGCACCTTGAGTTTGAGCAGGTTGATCACTGCTGGATGCTCTGCATCTTTCTGCTGTGTAAAATTAAAGGTGCTTGTGCTTAAAACTGGAAGAATTACAGCATCAAAACTCAGAGCAAAGCTTTCAGCTGCTGCTTCAACTTCATCCCTTCAGGTGTATTCAGGTAACACTTGGGAATTGGATTAATTTCAACAAATTGGGAGCAGCTTTTCAAACAATTCACAGGTGAAATTCCTGAGGGCTGCCAGTGTTTTGATTTTAGCAGCATCTGCACTGCTGTGGAAGGAATGGTTTTCTCCAAAAGTATTGTTAAATACTCAGTTGACTTCAAAATTTAAAGAACTTACATCCCATTGCCTGAAATATATAAATCACTGATTGGAATTGTTGGAAAACTTCAGAGACACTGATTACTTCCAGAAGAACTGAATAGTAAAGTAAAAATTTCTGTATAATTTCTGTAGAAAAGGAGAGTTCTCTGTGTGTGCAACAGTGAAGCAGTGCCCTCTGAAAAGTGCTGCCAAATGCAAGTATAATAGAAAATACTAAAGTCACTGGAAAAGATGTTTATCATCCCAAATCCCCAAGGTTTATCTTCACCCTCTTTCTCTCTTTGTGTGAGAGAAGGATGTAAAGCCTTTGCAGGGAGATAATCCCTCAGCATCTTTAGATGGAAAGATGCAGGACTGAGTGCTTTAATTTAGTACTTATTTTCCTTTCATAGACACTATTAGTGTCATCTTTTTTCAGTGACTATTATAAAGTACTTCATATGAAACATTCTCTTAGCAAAACAACTTAGTTAAATTGAGCTGCTTTCCAGCAAGGCAAAATCTGGTGGACATGAATCTCCAGTCCAAGTACCTTCTAAACAGGATCCTTTGGGAGAACCTCCTGCATTCATGTGGATGTCTCTTGATTTGAGAAACTTCATGCAGAATTTTGCTGGTTTTTAAAATTTAAGTGAGTACATTATTAATTAAGGAGAAAGATTCAGAATAAGTCTGTAGTTTGAGCTGTTAAGATGTAGAATATTCTCTATTTTAGTATGTTCTTTCCTGTATGTAATTTAGGAGGTGGAGCCAGCCAATTTCTTGAATGATTGTTTTTTAATTCTGTGTGTTTTTAGAAGCAATAGTGGTGCTGAGCTCTTACAAGAAATCTTAACTATTAACCATGTGAAATTCTGTTTGTTGGGTGCCATTGCTCCCTCACACTGTCTGAAGTTTGTGCTCTGGAAACACTGAAAGCTGGGGGTGTGTTCTTGATGCATTTGTGCTTTGTGAAGTGGTTTTTGTTATGAAGATATTTGGCTGTGAGAAGGAACTTTTAAGATGTTTGATTTGTTTTACGTGGTTTACTCTGGCCTGTCACAAGGTGCCTCATTCTGCCTCAAGAGCTGATGGGATTTAACTTTTACATAAAGGACCTGCAGTAAAACTGCTGCATTTAGGAGAGGATTTCTAAACTCAGTCCTTTCCAACACTGACATTTGCAGCCCTGTTTGTGCCCCTGCTCTGTTGTTGAACAGAATTCTCCCTTTGTCCATAACGTGTCATTTTTCTGTTTGTGGCCAACCCAGCAGAGAAGCTGTAATTTCCTTCCATCCCCATTTCCCTGCTGACAGTGCCAGGGCTATAATTTCATGGCAAGGTAAAGCTGGCTGGGAGGCAGAAAAGTTTAGTTAAATATTAAAAAACCACTTTCTTAAATGTGGTTGTGCTTCGTTTGTCCAAACCCTGAAGAGAAAGAGTCCAGTGACACCAACCTGAGCACCCAGGGCGGGGTAACTGCAGTCCCTGGGGGGGCTGAGGCTTTGATGACACCTCTCTCTATCAATTTTATCTTCATGGCTGGTGACAAAAAAAGCAAAAGAAAGCTGCCAGATTATCCCATGATTTGTGTGTTTTCCAGGACCAAGCTGTACATGGCTGACCTTGAGTCGGGATTGCATTTCCTGCTCAGGGTGGAACTCGCCACGCACAAGACACTTGAGGGAGCTGAGCTCAAGACCTTCAAGGATTTTGTCACCATCTCTGCCAAGGTACACACTTCCAGCCTGTGATTATTTGTGAGAATGAAGTGACTCCACCATCAAATTTATTATGGGGCAGAGGTCTCTCAAAATGTCTTTCGCAGCGTTTCAATACGTGCGTCCTCAGCAGCTTAAAAAAGAGTTTTGTGGGTTTATGTACGTGCTGGTTTTGAAGTGTTTGGTGCTGTTCTGACATACTTCCAGGGTTAAAATGCATTTTAATTTAATCTTAGAGGGCTCAAAATTAAATAAAGCTTAAGTAGTCTGCAGCATATTGAACAGCCACTGTAAATATAGTCCATTTATCAGATTTTCAGGATGAGTAGCTATTGTAACTCAGCGGGATTAAAACAACCTTTGTTTTTCATTCTTGACTTTTGGATTTCATTAATGCCCACTTGGCAAATGGTGTTTGTTCTGTTTAGAGATCTTAGCAGCTTCTGTCTAAATTTGGAATATAATTGAGGCACTGAATTTAACTGATTGAGTATTTCAAAACAATGGAGGCATTGAATATTAATGAGTACTTAAAAAATAAAAATGCTTATGTGTTACATTTGTAATATAATGTGATATGAATTGAAAAAATTAAAGTAATTTTACTTTATAATGCCAGTTTACTGAAGTGACCAATGTCTCTTTATATTTACAGTGTAGCTACCACTATGTTTTATTTTAAAACAGTGAATCAATAACTATTAAGGGAATAATAAGGCCTATATGAACCCTTTCCAGATATCTGGATTTATCTGAAAATCAGACAGACAGTTTCTTACCCCCCTTCCCCCTCCCCTGCAGCCATCAGAGGTCAGAAATCTCTCACTGGCCTCATTTCTTTAAGAAAGTGTGGTGCTAATCTTTCCATCATATTATCCCTAAAACATCCTCTGCTCTTCCTGATGGCTCCTGGCCAGCTGATGTCATTTGCTTCCCTGGCTATTAGTGCAGAAATTGGGAATGCTCTCTTTTGGGTCCCTGCTCAGCTGCACCTGCCCTTGCAGGGTGGGCTGCTGGCCTTTATTTGCCTTTTTTTTTTGTAATTTAACATTTTCCTTGTATCTCCCATTCAGGTGATTTTGTTAGGAAACCTTTTCTACTCTTCTCCTGTTTATAGTGAGGATCATCCTGAAGTCACAGAGGTCTCTGGTTCCCTACTTGGGGAATTTTCATTGCTGAAATCCTGCTCCCTGAAGGATGATGGGCATACTCAACTTAATTTTATAGTGATCACAACCCTAATTAAAGCAAAATACCATTTCTGGTGTAAAATCCTGGCCTCACCACTGACTTACAGTCCCTCACACTCATCTGCCAGACTGTGGCTTCTGTAAGTTCCAAGTTAAGGAAGTCACTGTTTCCAAATCACTTTGGAAATCACTGTTACACATATGAGAAGGAAAACCCTCTCCTGGATAACCAGCTTCTAAATTTACAGAAATCTGACCAAAAAGAACTGGGTTTTGTGATTTATCTTCTAAAAGTGAGAAGGATTTCAGCCTCTCTGAGGTGTTACCTCTGTTCTGAGCCTCATTCTGAATCACCCCAATGTGAAATTCTATATAATCTGTCCCAAGTTGTTCCATGCAATTCCTGCTTGTCATTCAGTGCCTTCCATTTTAATATTTTGCACATAAAACTTGTTAATTTTGTAAGCACAACTTAGTGTGAGATGGCTGAAAGCAGAACAAGAATTTAATTTGCCTATAATCTGAAGCATTTTAAAGGCAGGAAAACAATTGGATAACGACAAAAGTGTCTTGCTGATGATGAGATTTGGGCTTTAAAATATTGTTTTCCTTGGTTTTTTTTTGTTCTCAGCTTTTTCCTGGCCGACAGCCCGTGGTAAAGTTGTTAGAGACCTTGCAAGAGTGGCTGGTGAGCCTTCCATTAGACAAAATCCCTTATGATGCTATTCTGGATCTGGTCAACAACAAAATGCGGGTAAGCTGGTCCCAGTTTCCAGCAGAAAATGCAGCATTAGTAAAGGATAAGATTCTATATAAATCTAAGACATCACTTACTGATGGTCCCTCAGTCATAATGGAGTTATAAGAAGGTTAAAATGAAAATAAAGTGAAATCATTACCAGAAAAAAAACCAGAAAAAACCAACAAACAAAAAAAAAATCCACATGAAGAAATTGAAATGAGAGAATTGAACTCCACAATGCTGGCTGGGTTTATAATGAGCAAGCAATATGTGTTCCCTAATGTCAGCTTCCAGGGATCCAAGATTCCCAGTGGATATTTTGGGCTTTGCTGTGCCTGTTATCAGCAGGAGTCTCCTGAAGGTCAGAGTTGAAGCGATGGGAAATTCACCCCCTGAAACGGGAATTATTCCCAAAGAGTTTCCCCAAATACTCTTTAATTTCCTGGCATGCAAAGGCCTTGCTGGAATCCCATCCCACTCTGGCAATCAAAGCCCTGTGGCAGGGCTGTCTTTGCCCAGAAATTAATAAGAATCTTCCCTCCCTATTTGTCTCTCTGAAATTTGGAAACCTCCTTTGTGTTTTGGGAAGCAGAGAGAGAAGTCTCCGAAACTAAAACCTTGCACTGGATTTGGGGTGTAAGGACTAAGAAGTGGGTTTGTTTTAAGAAAAAATAATATTAAATTCTACATCTTAACCTGTTAAGGTTGTACCACTGGGAGTCCTGTGGAATAATATGGAATTTTTAATGTGCCCTGGGAAACTGGGGCTCTGTCAGAGTTTACAGTGATATTTTTGTGTGTGTTTTGTTCATGCTGTTCTTAAAAAAGAAACTTTACAGGTTAAGCTACTTCATGTGTTCTGTCAGACTAATTTTAGTGGGTTTGACATCAGTATTTTGTATATCCTGCAAGAAGGTTGAGTTTTCTAAAGGTACATCAGAGTATCTTGGACTTAGGGTTGTTCTGGGTTTAAAATTCACTTGCCTGAAGCATAAACTCATTAACAACAAGTGCAGAGAAAGTAATTGACTGTTCTTTACCCTCAATTCCGTGTAGGATCAGCTGTGCTCCTACATTCAGTAGTACATTTAGGTCCCAGAGCTGCATATATCCTAAATACACCTCTTTTTTTTCCAGATTTCTGGGATATCTCTCACTAAGAAGGTTCGGTGGGTTGGCTGCCAGGGCAGCAGACCAGAGCTGAGAGGTTACAGCTGCTCCCTTTGGAAGCTGTTCCACACCCTCACTGTTCAAGCTGCACTGAGACCAAAAGCCTTGATAAATACAGGTAAGCAGCACAATTTTTGGGAGAGGGGAGTGTGTAAATCCTCAGTTAATACTGAGTTTGTGGAGGGCAGTGGCTGCAGGGCTGTACCAGCAGGGGTCAGAGCTTTGCTGCAGCTGGAAGGTTTTGGAAAGCCTTTCTCCTGGCTTAGAAACGTGGTAAATAAAGTGTGTGGCCCTAAAGCTGTGAGTGATAAAGCAGAGAAAAAAAACCCAAACAAACAAATTTTCAAACAAAGAAATTTTGAGCTCCCTGAAAAAGGGATGAAAATTATTCAGGTCACCTGAGGTTGCACTGGGAATTCAATTTGAGAAGAACGAGATTTAACCATAGAATTTAGTAGCTATAAAGCATGTACAACCATTAGCTGATCCTTCTGTAATGTTATTTATTAAATACTGAATGTTATGACTGTTTTGGGTTGGGTTTTTTTTCAGCTGAATGTACCTGTCATTAATCTCCACAGTGATTTACTACTTTGCCAGCACTCTGTAAAATTACTTGTTTTTAGACTTGCAGCATCCTATGAAGCAGAGTGTTAATATTCTGGTGATGATTCCTATTTAAGAAACATGCTGGATATATAATCTATTTTCCTCACCCAATGAAAATAGAATTATTAATGCTAAAATATTGGCCTTCATATATTTTTATTCTTGCCAGGACAGCACTGTATTTGGTTACAATTCTACTTAGTTCTCATTTAAAGCCTTTTAAATGTCTTTTCCAAGGAATATAAGAATTCTAGATGGATGTTACTAAACCATAAACCCCAGAAAATTGCAATTTGCCAGTTGCTGATTGTATATTAAAAAAGTATTTCATTATTTCAAATTACAGATATGTGTGTTTGTCCAGAATTATTTGCAATCACAGTGAAAATCTCTCAAATCTTAATAGTTCTCCTGCAGAATGGGGATTTTTGGTTTTTTTGGATAGCAAATCATCCTGTTGTTTATTTTTGTTGTTCTCTTTGTTTTGTTTGTTTTTGATGGGACAGTGGGTTAAATTTCTTCCATCTAGTGCTGTGAGTTTGAGGGGTTTGCACTGGATGATTTTTAACTGTTCAGGATCCTGCATAAGTTAAATCCCCCTTTTGTCCCACTTGCCAAAAGTGTTCTGATTAAATCTAAAAAAAAATTCTTAATATTTAACCACGCAAAATTACACCTTAAATTGTGTGTTCCAAGCACGAGCTGGAGTCAAATCTGAAGTTAAAAATACAGGGTAGGACCTGAGAACTCTTTGGCACAGTTAACCCTGGCTGGAAATCGGGGGCAGAGATGTGATGATCACTTCTTACAGCCAAAGAATTGGGTCAGTCTGAGACTGTGGGATTATGTCTTGGGAGGTTTTCCTCTCCTTATTGCTTGTTTAAATCCCATCTACTAAAAAGCATGATGTACTCCCTAATCCTTCCCACCACAGGTAGGGTTTTATGCTTCTTGTCCACTTTAAAGATTAGGGTTACCCTGAATTGCAGTAGTTTGGGAGGAGAGAGAAAAGGAGGATTACACGATGATACATGGCAGATGTTAATAGAAGATTCATCTCGGGGGCTGATAAAAGAAAAACAAACAAAATGAGCCATTTTGCAATTGTTTGTTTTCTTTGGAAAGCAGATGTGTTTTTCTTGAGCGTTTCCTCTGGGTGAACTCGTTGTGGATTCAGTGAGAAAATGCCTTTGTTGGGCTGTACTTGAAATATTTTCATGGGGAAAGGTGAAATTTGGAACCTGCAGTGGGAGCAGCACGAGGGATCTGAGGGAACTCGGAGCAGAGCTGCTCCCACCCAAAGATGTGTCAAATCACTGCAGAAATCAAGTCCTGAGCACACTTAATTATAAAGAAATGAGTTTTTAGATAACAGGATCTCTTGGTGTGAATAAGACAGGCTTGGGGATTTTATAATGAACTATCTGGATTCTTTCTTAATCTGAATTTGAAAGATCTCCCCACAAAATGAATTTGCACAGGAGAACAGATATAATTAAATTTTTGTATGAATCTGTTCCTCCACAAAGAGATTATTTGCAAGTAGTTCCTTTGGTTGTGTTTGTTGTTGTTTTTTTTCTAAATACGTATTTTAGTATAAATAATAAAACTGTTCTGCCTGAAATTTGTTTCAACTTTCCAAAATTATTTTCCAGCCTTCCTTTTAATACAGTAATTTAATCTGCTTTAATCTCATAGCTTTTATTTATACATGTCTGTTCAATCACAGATATTGAAGGGGCTGAGGAGAGATTGGTTGCTGTTTAGGATTTCTTTTTGGCTTTAAACACTTCTTTTTTGCTGCTGTGTTTAAGAATATCGTGTTGTTATTCTCAATAAAGGTGTAATGGCAGTCTACATGTATTTCTTATATACATAACAAAAGTGCTCTGATAGTTTGAGCAGGTTTTGTTGAGGATTATTTTTCTTCCAAAAAACAATGCAATAGTAAATTATTCCAGGGTTCAGCAGCAGGAGGCTGTAATTTGATCAATCTGCACCATAAAATGTGTTTAATTTGACAAGTGTGTGTTCATGGTAACACACGGTACATTTTTAAATGCATTTTGACATAATTTACTGGGTCAATTAAGCATGAATCAGAAATTCTGTGAGACAGAGATGAAACCATTAGGATTTCAACAAATTATGTCAGGTTTTCGAGCCACTTGGAGATGTAAGAACTACCTGCTGACACAATAAAGGCCACAAAGTTCTCCATCTGGGGAGACCTTATTTTACTTCAGAATTAATTATTAGCTAGTTAGTGTAAAAGTGTGAGTATTATAGAAATAATAATAATATGCCTGTGTTTATTTTAGGAGGAATTCCTGATTCACTCAGCAGCTGTTCTGTGGGTGCATTCAGTGCCTGCCAAAAAAGCTGTGGAATTAATAAGTGTAATGAGATTCTGGTGCTCTAATTCCTCAGTGACAAACAGGCATCACAGGCACCTTGGGAAATACTGACCTGAGGGGGTTTGACTCCTGATTTTCCAGGAGAAGGATCCCCATAACTTCAGTGCCTGGGCATAAATGTCACGTTATGCATACCATAAATATTCATTTAGTTATTGGGCAAGATATTGGAGAAAGTCTCTGCTTCCAGAAGAATTGTGACACACAGACAGTGTGAACTTTGCATGTTTTAACAATTTCACAATGTGCTCTGGTAAAAATTAATGTCTGGCTCTCATTTAACTGAGTTTTTTTCCCCCCTTGAATTGTCAGATACTCTTTGAAAGGAGAAATTTCACTGAGAGAACACTTGACTTTTAACTCTTCTTTTAATGTGTTGTCCAGGGTAACTTTGAGCACAGCTGTACAGACTAAATGTGTTGGCTTGTATTGGTATAAAGAGCTACTTTGCATTTTTAATAGCACTATTGCTCAATCAGCATTTTGGGAACCTCAGTGTGTTGGAAATAATTCCCTTGTGGGAATTATTGTCTGATACCCCAGACAAGCTTTCCAAACCGTGTGTTGTGGAAAGCACAGTTTGAAAGCACTTTCAGCTCTATTTATTGCCAAATAATTTTGGTTCTAAATGTCTCACCTCAACTGCCTAGTGGCAATGTTATCAATGAACTACTTAGTGACAATATTATAAATTAACTACTTAGTGACAATATTATATATGTATTTTGTTGGAGGGGGTATTTCTTCAAAGAGCTCTGTGAAGCTTTTAGTCCCTCTAAGATCTTTGTGACTTATTTTTAAATAGATGATGTATGGTGACACTTGTGCTCTGGATATCTTTAAATTGCAAAAAGTGTCTGTTTTTAGAGTCAGGTGTGAATTGCTCAATCAGCATTTTGGGAACTTCAGTGTGTTGGAAATAATTCCCTTGTGGGAATTATTGTCTGATACCCCAGAAAGTACAGTTTGAAAGCACTTTAAGCTCTATTTATTGCCAAATAATTTTGGTTCTAAATGTTTCACCTCAACTAAGTAGTGGCAGTGTTATAAATGAACTACTTAGTAACAATATTATATATGTATTTTGTTGGAGGGGGTAGCTTTTAGTCCCTCTAAGATCTTTGTGACTTATTTTTATATAGATGCTGTATGGTGACACTTGTGCTCTGGATATCTTTAAATTACAGAAGTGTCTATTTTTAGAGTCAGGTGTGAATTTGCATGGAACAAGAATGGTGGAACATTTCCCTCCCTTTTCCCCCAGTTCACTTTTATGTTGAAGTTCCTGTGTTGGTCCAGGAGGGGCTCAATAAACCCGTCCCTCGTGTTGCAGGTCTCGAGGACAATCCCCAAATCGTGCTGCAGGTCATGAGGAGGTACATCCAGCACTTCTTTGGGTGCAAGGCTTGTGCTCAGCACTTTGAAGAAATGGCCAAAGAGTCCCTGGATTCCGTGAAAACCTTGGACAGGGCTGTCCTGTGGCTCTGGGAGAAGCACAACGTGGTGAACAACAGGCTGGCAGGTATGGGAGGGACACACCTGAGATCCTGTGCCCTTGTGGGATATAATCCCAAAACACCATTCTCAAAGGTAGTTGCTTCTGAAATTTCACCTGTTGCTCGATGAGAGGATCTTTCTGGAGTCCAAATCAAAACCTTCTCAAAAAAGGGACAATAAAAGTGGATAAAAATTAATCACATTTCTTTCTGTGACACTTTAAATAGAGGTTAAAACTTGTCATTGTTTCGTTCTGGAGTGATACTGGTTGGAAAAGTATAATTGAACAAGAGACTTTCTCAGGAGAAAAGAACCTGAATTATTGGCAGATCAGCAATGGAATAAAATAAAATATGAGGGAAATCTGTGCCCCCTCTAGATCGTGGTGTTTTCAGTTAGGCTAAAAGTGCTGTTAAAATACTGGTTGTGTTTAATCCCTTCTGTTATGGAGGTATCAAGTAACTAAAGCACTAAAGAAAATTGGTTTCTCTTTGCACTAAATCCCTGTCTGCTGTTATGGATCTGGGTAATGTAGCATTAGTTGCAATTTAAATATGCTACATTGTGTTCATATTGTGGTCCTGCTGAATTCCCCAGATTTATGAAGTATCAAATGCTGTCGTGAGCACGAACAGTTTGTCTCCTTTCTCCAAGGAGGAGAAGAGAAGTAAATGATAAGGGATTAAATAAAAAAACATCCCCTAATTTTTGGTCACAATTGGCTGGGCTGTGAACACAGAACCAGGCAACTCCTCTTGGCTTGGACTTGCTAAGTGGTGGAGCAATACACTTATTTAGAGCATTAAGGTATTGGAAAACTCACAGGGCTATTGATTTAGGTGATGCAACAGCCAGCTAAAATACCCTTTTAGTAAGAAGTATAAACCCCCTGGAATAAATAATAATGTTAAATTATGCTTTTTAAGTTTGCTAAAATTTCTCCGTGGGACAGTGATGTATTTTCACCCTTAAAAGCTGCATCTGTATTTGTGGTCACACGTGTGGCTTCCAGTGAGAAATGATGTTTGGGCAATGAAAACACCTTGGCACAGCCCTGGGGTGGGTCAGGAGCTGCTTGGATATGGCTCTGCCCTGTGGAATTATTCCCTGTTGCTTTAGGATGGGCAGAATTTACAGCATTTTCCTCTTTGGCAGCAAAACACAAAGTACAGGGAATTTTCTGTTTGTAATCTCACCATAACTCATTTTGTTTCTACTTTCTCTGTTGAAACAATTTGATTACTGAGTGATCTCTAAGATAAAAAGGCAAATTTGCTCTCTTGCTTGTACATATCAAGGAGACACATATTTTCAAGCATCCTTTGAATCCCTTTTTTACTCAAAATCATGGGGAAGCTTCCTGCCTTTAAAAAGAATATAAAATAATAATAATAAAATGACAGTCTTTTTTTTTTTAAACATTTTAAATGTTAGTGTACTAATAACAATCAGCTAAATAAATCAGCTTTTTCTTGCAAGTTTTTTTCCAAAAATTATCTCCACCCACGTTTTGAAATGTTATTTTTTAGGGCAAAATGTGACACCAGCTCCAGCCTGTGAACACAGGGAGGTGGCCAGAGCTGTGAGCATCTGAAATGTTCAAACTGGATCTAATTCAAGACAGCATTACAGGTTTAAAGGCTAAAAAAAAAAAACAACACCAAGCTGAAAAATACATCTTAAACATAAGAATGGTTTTTCTAGTGCTAAAACCAGTTTGCTCCAGCAGTTAATGCAAAAAGCTGTGGAAAAGCAAGCTTAGGATGGAATGATTCACAGCACAGAAACATGAAAATATCTGAGTCTTTGGCCTTGAAGCTGCTCCTGCAACCCGGGCAGAACACAGGGATTAAGGAGCACGGAGTGAAAAGAGCAGTTTGTTTTGCACCATAATTCAGGTTAACCCTGAAGGGCCCAGATGGTCGTGTCCTCCTGCCTCCTGAAAGCAGCAATTGCAAGAGCTGGGGCTGGGATTCCCACCCTGCAGCTTTTCCTGGGGAAAAAAAAAGGCAAATAATTATCGGTTTTGTGTTTGTATTTTGAAATGTTTCAGGTCGGAATCGATGCACCCCTGAGGAAACTTCTGAATTTCCAAATTTGTTCGTGATTGTTCTCAGTTTAATACATTTAATACATTATTGTGCTGGTTTGGGGTGTTTTTTGAACAACCTCACTGGATTGTTGGGGAAGTTGGGTGGGAAATACTCCCTGTGAGGTGTCTGATAGTTCAGCTTTCCCTGTTCGTTCCCTGATTTTTATTCTGATATTTATTTTTACTGCGGTTTTTTTTTTTCTCCTCCCAATCAGGTGATTTGACTGAAGATCCAAAATTTCCCAAAGTTCAGTGGCCGACTCCAGACATTTGTCCTGCATGTCATGAGGAGATTAAAGGACTGCACAGCTGGAATGAAGAGCAAGTCCTGAAGTTCCTGAAATCTCACTACAACAGTGACAATATCCTCTACAAATACACCGAGAGCCAGACTGACTCCAGTGACCCCGAGCAGGGAGACACCAGGGAGGGGAAGGACAAAAACCTGCTGAAGAAACTGGGGGAAAACAGAGAAAATAAGCTCCAGGATAAGGAAAACTCAGTAGATTCGGGCTCTAAGGTGGGAGAGAAGCCCGGAGGGAATCCCGGAGCTGTCCAAGGTAGCGGGAAAAACTCGGGGGCCTCAGTGAACCTCAGGGAGGTCAGGCAGGCTGTGTCCTTCCTAGGGATTGGCTTTTCCAACATAGACATGAGTCTCTGTGTCATCCTCTATGTCGCCTCCTCCTTGTTTTTGATGATCATGTACTTTTTTTTCAGGATGAGATCCAAGAGGTGGAAGGTGAAGTATTACCGGCCCTCGGTGTAGGAGTTCTCCGTGGCCGTGGCTGTTGGGTCCCAGACACAGCTTTAATCTTTTATGATCAGGGATTTTATACAGAGTATTCCTTTGTCCCGAGGCATTCCCAGGTGTTGGATGTGAGGAGCTGGCTGTGAGAAGCCGAGGCACACGTGGCTGTGCTCTGCATGTGGCAGTGCAGGTTTTTCCATGACTTTACCACCGACATCCTTTACTCATTTTCAGAGTAAACATTGCATTATGCAATCCACTGTGCCTGCTGGGGGAGGAAATTGGATATTGTTTTGTGTACTTCAAGTCAGGTGTTATTTTTTTTTTTTTAGTTTACCCAGAGCTGGTTTCACCTCCCTGAGTGCTGAACAGTTCCAGTGGTACTTTGGCTGCTTCCTTTGGAGGAGCAAGAATTCTGAGGGTTTGTTTGTTTTGTTTTTTCAGGAAACGAGTTTCATTCTGATTAAACCATTTCTAAACCTCTGTGACTTTCTGAAATATTATTTACATGGCATATTTAAAGGAGAAAGCATTCTGTGTTCACATCATTGTTGTGTATTCCAGCCAAGGATGTGTGTGTGACTGCCTGGATGGGAGTTTTGGGGCAGTTTGTGTCTCAATTAGCAGCCTCATTCTGATTGCTAATGGTCATCATTTTATTGGAGATTAGGTGTGAGCAAGGACAGACCTGGAACTTGTCCTTTACTTGCTCCACTGTTGGATGTGCTGATGGAGCATTGGATAACTCACCTCATTTATGAACCAGGAAAATAGCTGAGTAATTGTCTTGTTATCCAGGTGGAAGCCAATCCTGATGAACTCTAGTAAAGGAAAACAGGGTTTTCAGTGAAGGACAGTGAGATTTGTATTAACATGGCAGAACAGATTGAAAAATCTGGGAATGCTGAGTTTCTTCTGTTGGATAACTCCATTATAACATAGCAATTAATACTTCCCTTGGGATTTGGAGCTCTGAGCTCACAGAGTGTCACCTGCTGGGTGTGAATTGTCTGTGCAGGGCACAGAGCAGCCCTTCCCTCTCTCCCTGCCTCTGGAATGCTCCTGATGGAGTCAGGAGAGACTCTCTAATGGTTCAGGGCAGAGCTGCTCCATTCTGGGACGTGGCAGCAGTTGGGAATGTGGCATTTTCCTTTCCAATCAGTCTGGGGGCCTGGTGGGCAGCACTTAGAAGAAACCCTGAAAACAGCTCTAAAATTACCATTGGGAATAGGAGTTCCTGTGATCCTGGCTGGGGGGATAATTCAGGTCCTGGATAGTGAAGTTTCTAATCCCATCCAATGTAATTGAGCATGTTCTAGTTATCCATTACCTAATCTTTAGTTAATCCTAATAGGTTTTGGCCTCAATGTTTTCTCGTGGCAGTGAGTTCTCCAGATTAATTATGTTATATAAAAAGGCTTTTCCTTTCAATTCTACATTTGCAACTTTTAATTTAATTGAATGTTTGCTGGCTCCTCTGTTACACGAGAAGGAATCAGGAGTCTCTGGCCAAGTCCCTGGTTATGCCATCAGTGTGTCCTCCTCTGGTTTCCCTCATAAGCCCCAGCATAGAAAGTTTAAAACCTGGCAACAAGAATGATCTGAAAAGCACAAAAACTCCAGTCAAATCTTGTTTGTTCACAAAACTGAATATTTCTGTTGTGTTTCTGCAACTTGGAATAACAGAATTGAGCTTCAAGGATTCCCTGTCCCTTGTTGCTTTTGATTCCCTACAATTCCAGCACTTGGGCTTGGGTATTGAAACACCTTGTAAGCAACTGGAATGATGGTGGAAGGTGGGACAGGCTCATCAGTGCAGGTTGGTTTGGGCTGGAATCCAATGAGAGATCCCAGGAAGAGGCTGTTTAAGAGGAAAACCTGGAGATTCCACATTAGTTTTGAAAATCGGGCAACTTCTAAGTGACTTAATCTGGGCAAGTGTTCTCATCCCACAAGCAAGGACATTTAGCTTTTAAAAACAAAGCCAAGCACCCAAAAACCCCTAACCCAGCCCAGCAGTGTTGGGCCTGGAAAACTGGACCTTCTTCTGTGGGACTGTTGGATTCCTGCTGTTGGAATTGCTGCACATTCCAAAGCTGAAATCCAGTCATTGCTGCTGGTGATTAGAATTCTACCACATACAGAGACCTGCCTTCATTAGCTTTGGCTCATTCTGCTCATGGAAGCAAAAGGCTTTGGAGGTTTTTAGGAATGATTTTGCCTTTAAAAAACAGCAAATGTGGGTTTGGAATAAGTTGGTGGGTTTGCTACACACCTTTAACTTCCACATTGCTGTGACCCTGCTGCAAACACAACAAAAGGAACCAATACTCAAACTTCCAGTGGCTTTTTTTTGCCTCTTGAGAGTGTGAAAGTATGAAATTAGGATGTTTCTTGTCCGTGTTGGTGCTCCAGCTCTTGCCAGTGAACCAGCCAAGGCTTTCACTTCAACAACCTCATCTGGGGAGGTTTTCCTCGCTTTGAATTCAGCTGTGTAAATCTTGGTTTGCTTGTTCTTATTTTCCATCTTTATAATGACAAATGGCATCGTTTTATGTCTCTGTAACAGCACAGTCTGTGCTGGGGGATGGGTGATGCTGCCAGGAAAGTGCTTCTGTTTTAAAAATTGCCTCCAGCCCCATCTCCTCAGTCCTGGAGGGTTTATTTGTGTGCTGTGTTGTGCCACAGAGGTTCCTGCAATGCCCCTTCCCTGTGCTGGGACCAGGCAGTTCCAAGAGAGATTTCTTGGCCCTTTGTAATTCATGGAGCTTTCTTTGCTCTCTGGATGTTTTTAAAGAGGGAATATTAAACCTGCATAGAAAATAAAAGGAGTAGAATGTGCCAGGAGAGAGAGAAAAGCTGCAAGTGCTAAAGAAACCTAATAAAGTTATTCCTGAGAACTGGTAATTTTTGATTTCCAGCAGTGTGTCCATCCTGCTGTTCCTGCTCAGAACTGGATGGGAACAAAGGTCCTGAGTGTGTTGTCTCAGTCTGTGCTTTGCACACGAAGTGTTGGAAATAGTGACGATACCATTGCAGTAATTTAAATGTTCTATTTATTTGAATTCAGTAACTTGACATTTTTGAGTCTGTTCTGGTTTGGTTTGGTTGGTTTTTTTACTGTCTCATTCCTCTCTTGGAAGGAAAAGTGACTGTTTTGTACTAAATTGTAAACTAATGTGCTTGTTTAAAATAAATTGCAAACATTTGGGCAAAGTGGTGTGTGTGGGCTCTTTACCTGTGTTTTCCAACTGGTTTTAATTTTCGAATTCTTTTTAGCTAAACTGTATTTCCAGGCTTGCCCATGTCCATGTCTGTGTCAAACCACATCCATCATTTTGTGTAGGTGTTTAATTCTGAGAACAGGTGAACCTTTACTCCTTTTCTTTCACTGTTATCCCATAAATTTCTGAAATGTCAGGGAATGCTTGGCTCTGAAACTCGTTTCCTGGCTGGCCCTTGACCTTGCCTGGGAACCAGCAATATTCCCCTGAGGACTGGGCTCATCCCCTGAATCCTTGAGGACAAACCTGGGCGTTGTCCCTGCCGGGGCAGGACCAGACCTGTCCTTGCCACCCAAACTCGGGGCATCTGCTGCCTCCTGGTGAAGAGGTGCCCTGGGACCACCCAATTCATGGTCTGATGCTGTTTTGGGGACAAGTCCTACAAAAACTGGCACAATTTCATCAGAGGGAAGGACAGTGCAGCCTCTGGGTCTGGTCACAGAAGAGCCACTGGAAGGGAACAGGCAGGGGAGTATTTTTAACCCCTGAGAAGTCAGGGCTTGCTAAGGAATCTTCTGAACCAGAGAAGAGAGAAAACCAGGAACAGACACACGTTTGGGTTTGTTTTTTTTTAATATTGGCAGAACCACCGCGAGGAAACCCCCGGGCAGGGTCTGGTGGCTGCTACAACCTGAGCAGGAGGGCACAGGAGTGTGTGTGGGGAGAGAGATCACCTGAGGGGCTTCTGCGGGGTGATGGTGTCACAGTGTGAGAGACACGGGGCTGGCGTGTGCCGCTGATGGTGTGAGTGGGACGCAGCCCCTCCCTCCCTCCTGCCCGGCCGCAGCTGCCGCGTCCCCGCCCCGTGCGCGGGGGAACGGGCACCGCCACACCCGCGTTTTCTTGAAGTGCTTCCTCAGGGCCTCAGACAAAACCCACTTTAAAACTGAGCTTAAAAGGGACCGTGTGGGTCATCACCTACCCCCTTGAAGCTGTTCCTGGCCATGGGGAGGGTCGTGGTGCCCCAGCACAGCCGGTGCTGGTGGTACCTGTGTCACTGCAGCACGGTCACAGCCACGCTCCGGCAATGCTGTACCCGCACCCCAACTTCACGCCAGCCTGGAATTTCTGGGTACTTTATTTAGGACCCCAAATCCCGGCCCCTCAAATGTCGCCCTGATTTTTTTCCAACAGCACAGGACTGAGCTGTCCCCAGGCAGATAACCCAACACAGGGGACAGCCCCGACCCTCGGCCGCGCCGGAGGGGAGCGGGCAGGAAGGTGATCTGTCACCCCGGGGTGGCTGTCCCAGGGTCGGGGGCTCGGTGTGGGGCTCCCCGGGTGCCCCCACGAGCGGGCGAAAGTCCCGGTGCTGCCGTCGGCAGGAGCATATGTGTGTTCGGAGCTCCCGCCCCTAAGCTGCTTTTATTAATTTGTAATCCCCCGCGAGCAGGAGGTAAAGGGATTCGGGGGATTAACGGGCTCACAGTAACAACCACAATTATCAGCTCCGGCTGCCTGGGGCAAGCGGGGCACACACGCACGGGGCTGTCGGTGGCACACGCACAGAAACACGGACCCGCGAGCCCCGAGAACGCACCGACACCCCGCACACATGGACACCCAAAACGCGCGGGAACAGCCGTGTGCGCAGACAGACCCGCACAGCCCTACAGGCACACCCGAAACGACCCACGGGCTGCCACGCACACACAAACAAGGGCACACGCACGGCTACACCCGCAGCCCCGCTACCCACCCACCCACACGCGCAAACACACGTCCGTGTCCGCCCCGTCCTCAATTAGCGCAATTAACCTCCTGCAGCCGCCGCGCGCCGCTGCCCCAGGGTCAGACACCCGCTACCTCTCCGCGCTCATTAATTAATTAGCGGAGGGGGAAGAGCCCCCCCCGCTCCCCACGGGAGGAGTCCAGGGAGACCCGCAAACCGCGCCAAGGGGACAAACGAAATCCGGGCGCGGGGGCGGCCGGGGCGCGGCGGAGCCCGGGGAGAGGCTCCCCCCGACGGCGGCTCCCCCGCCCCGCTCCGTGCGGGCTCCGAGGGGGCTCAGGGGGGTCCCGGGGGCCGCTTTGCCCTCGCGGGCGGCTCCTGCAGCCCGAGCCCACGCGTCGGGGAACAGCGGCCTCGGCCACGCGTGGGCCGGGGAGGGGAGGTGGGCAGCGCTCCCCCCGCCGCTTTTGTGATGCTAAAGAGCCCGGCGCTGAACCGCGGCCCAGCTGCGGCCCGGAGCCGCCCCCGGCCCGCCCCCCGTGCCCCCCCGCCCCGCCCAGCCCCGCGCCGCTCCCTGCGCGCCCCTCCGCGCCGCTCCGCCACTCCCGCGCCGCCGCCGCGCTCCTCGGACGGCGCCCACGGAGGCCGCGATGCTGCTGGAGCGGGTCCGCGCCGGCTCGGAGAAGGCAGCGGAGCTCTGCCCCTTCCCGCGGAGCCCAGGTGAGGCGGGGGCGCGCAAACCTCCGCGTCCCCCCGCGGAGGCACCGCTGGGAGTCCCGTCTGTGCCGGTTCCGCGCTCCCCGGGGCACCGTCGGGGCCGCGGTTGGGGTTGGCTGCGGGGGAAGGCGGGTGGCCCGACGGCAGCGGAGAGTCCATCCCGGTCCGTTCCGCCCGCCCCACGCTCCCGCTCGCTCTCTCCTGCTCGTCCCCGATACAGGAGACCCTCTCGCTGCCCCTCACCTGGCTTTAGACGCCCGTTTGGTCTCCCCGCCGCCCTCGGGGTAACGGCGGGGCTGCCCCGGGCTCCCGGTGCTCCCCGCTCAACGAGGGCAGGGACGAAACGGGGAGTTTTTGATGCCCGAAGGTTCCTCCCGACGGCGGGGACCCCCCGCGCCCCCCGCCCGGCTCCCGCCCGGCTTTTTCCGCACTTTGGAAAAACTCCCGTTAATTCTTTTCTTAAATGTTCTTTCCTCCCGTTTAACGAACGGGGACAGCCCTGTCGGGGCGGGGGGAACCGCACCGCACTCCCCCGCCGTGCTCGGGGCTCCGCGTCTCACCGGCGGGGGCACAGCCGGGGCCGGGGCAGCGGGGCCGGTCCCGGTGCGGGGCCGTCCCGGTTCTCTCCAGCAGCGACTGGGGCCGGAGGGGCTTAAAAACCAAACAACGAGGACCCGGCGCGGGGGACCCGCCGGTGTGCGGGGACCGAGGTGTCACCGGCGGTGGGACCGACCCCGCGCCCCGGCAGCCCCCGTGGTGGGGTTGATGCCCCCCCGTCCTGCCCCGGCTCGTCTTTCCGTGGCTCTCCCCGTCGGGTCCCCGCTGTGCGGGAGTTGCGCCTTTGACCCGAGAACCGGGAGCTGCTTTGGCCCTGCGGGGGCGGAGGCGACACCGCCGAAATCGGTACCTCCGGTAGAACGAACGACGCGAAAAGAATTATTTTCCCGCAGGACGCGATGCTCGTTTTGGGCCCCGGGGTCTCCGGCTCCGTCGGGGAGGCAGCGGGAGGGGAGCGAGGGGGCTCGGCGGGGCTTACCGTGGGCATGGCCGGGGCAGGGCGGCGGCAGGACCGGGCCCGGGGGGTTCGCCCCGCCGGGGGGGCCGAGCCGCGCGGTGCTCTGCTCGAGCCGGGGGTAAATCCGGGGTTTGCGGCTCACAACGAACCCGGGGCAGCTCCCGGCGCTGCCTCCCCCCGGCGCGACCCCCGCCCGCCGCCGGCCCCGTTGGGGTCGTTTCCCGGAGCCGTGTCCCTCCCGCCGCGCCCGGCCGGGAAGGGGCGGCGGGAGGGGATGTGGGGCTGTGCCGCCGGGGGCGGGGGGGATTAAATACAGCGCGGCGCGATGCCCTGCCCGGCGCTTCAGAGCGGCACCGGCGGGCAGGGCCGGCGGCTAAAAATAACCCGCTTTAGCGAATTAAATCCCCGGCGGCGCGGGGGTGGCAGCGGCCGGGGAGGGGGGACACAACTGCCGCCGTGATTTGGGGGGGGGGAAGAAGTCGGCGGGGGGAGCGCGGCGGGTCCGCGCCCGGCCCGGCCTCGGCAGCGACGGGGCGGCGGAAGATGCTCCAGAGCCCGCGGCCCCGCTGAGCGAGCGGAGCTGGCCCGCGGATCGCGATGCAGCGTAAGAGCCGCGGGTCGAGCCGGGCTGAGCCGGGACCCCGCGGGGCTGTGCCGTGTTGCCGCTGCCGGAGCTCAGTCCTGGCCGGAGCTGCTGCCGCTGTTGGGGTTGTTCGTTTGGACGCGGTGAATTGTTGAGGAGAAGAGATCACCTCCACCTCCACCCTATGCGCCCCGAGGCAGCTCTGTGTCTCCACACACAGTTATCTTTACATAGAGATACTCTCATCTATCTGTATCTCTACTGCCGTGTCTATATCTCTCCATCTCTATCTATACCGATATATCTGTATTTATGTATCCCATATTCGTATTTTTACCTACATATCTCTATCTATACCTTTATAACGAAATCTATATATTTATATCTGTGTATCTGTACATTTCGTTTTCTATCTACTGTATTTGTTCATTTTTATATCTCTATCTCTCCATATCTGTATATTTATCTCTTTCTGTACCATCCCTGTCGGTATCTGCAGGGTGAAGGGACAAGCCCGCCGCGTTTTTATTTTCAGTGCAATTCTCGGAATTTTTGGTAGTCTCTTCCCTCACTCCACCCGGGCTGCCCTGCCGTTATTTGAAGGTGAATTTTGGAAGTGCAGGAAAAGCAAAAAGAGCCTGGAATAATTGCAGCTTTGCCGGCGGATCGGTCGGGGAGTTAATTCCGTTTCTATCACTTCCCTTCATGTTTTCCCGGGTTCTCCCGGGTGTGCACAGCCCGGGGGTTCGCCGATCCCCGCGGCGCGGGCAAACGCTCACACGGCGCTGCAAAAAACGAATTTGAACGAATACTGTGGTTTCCCGGGCTGTTCCCCGGGCCACCCCGGGCGGCAGCGGCCCCGGGGGTGGCGGGAGGGGCCGGGCCGGTCTCGGGGGGCAGCGGGGCTGCCGGGGGCTGACCGGAGCTGCCTCCCCGCAGAGATCCCGCTGTGCGCCGGCTGCAACCAGCACATCGTGGACAGGTTCATCCTCAAAGTCCTGGACCGCCACTGGCACAGCAAGTGCCTGAAATGCTCCGACTGCCAGACGCAGCTGGCCGAGAAGTGCTTCAGCCGCGGGGACGGCGTGTACTGCAAGGAGGACTTCTTCAAGTGCGTGGGGACCGCCCGGGACGGGATGGGACGGGACGGGGGGCGGCCGGCCCGGGTGGGGGTCACAGCGCGGGCAGCGACTCAGGGTGAGGGGGGATTCAGCACCGGGACAGCGGCGGGTCCAGCACCGCGGACAGCGCCGGGCAGGGCCGGGAACCCTCCCCGGGCACCACCCGGCTCAGCGGCCGCCGCTTGTCCCCCCCCCCGCTCAGGCGCTTCGGGACGAAGTGTGCCGCCTGCCAGCAGGGCATCCCCCCGACCCAGGTGGTTCGCCGGGCCCAGGACTTCGTTTACCACCTGCATTGCTTCGCCTGCATCGTCTGCAAGCGGCAGCTGGCCACCGGCGACGAGTTCTACCTCATGGAGGACAGCAGGCTGGTCTGCAAGGCGGACTACGAGACGGCCAAGCAGAGAGGTACCCCTTCCCCTTGCCCCGTCCCTGCCACCCCCCGAGGGCAGGAGGGAGCGGCCCGGGGCGCTCCTGCCCTCCGGGACAGGCTCATGCAGCGGGCGGGAGGGGTGGGAGCATCTGCCGTCGGCGGGTGGCTGGGAGGAGGTCGCGGGTCCCGCGTCCTGCGGTGGCTTCACCTCCCACTCGCACCTTGTCGGCAGAGGCTGAATCCACGGCCAAGCGGCCCCGCACCACCATCACGGCCAAGCAGCTGGAGACCCTCAAAAACGCCTATAACAACTCGCCCAAGCCGGCGCGGCACGTCCGGGAGCAGCTTTCGTCGGAGACGGGGCTGGACATGCGGGTGGTGCAGGTAAGAGCGGGGTCTGCGCGGGCCGGGGGGCGCCGGGGGGGGACCGGCCCCGCAGCCCCCGAGCTCCCCGGCCTGTCCTGCCCGCAGGTCTGGTTCCAGAACCGCAGGGCCAAGGAGAAAAGGCTGAAGAAGGACGCGGGGAGGCAGCGGTGGGGTCAGTACTTCAGGAACATGAAGAGATCCCGGGGGACATCCAAGTCCGACAAGGACAGCATCCAGGAGGAGGGGCCCGACAGCGACGCCGAGGTCTCCTTCACAGGTCGGTCACTGGGCTGTTTTCAACATCTCCGTGCCACGGTCAGAATTTTCGGGCATCATACAATGAGTGAAACCAAGCGCCCAGGGCGGGAGAAGGGCAGAGCTGCGGGATCCACCGCGGCGCGGTCCTGGCGGGGGAACCGGGACCGCGGGGGCTGAGGAGCGGGGGGGACACTCCGCTGTTCCTCCGGGGGGATGTTTGTGTCAGGCCCGAAAAGCTGCGGGGACAGCAGGGAGAGCTGCCGGGGCAGCCGCTGCGATGTCAGAGCCGCAGCTCGTACACGGCCTTTTCAAGGGACTCTTAGAAATACAAAAACCAGAGAGTCCAGAACCACTGAATGTTTTTACGGGGAAAAGTGTGCGATTTTTTTAAAAATTCCTTTTTTAAAAAAAAATATTTTTTAGGGGTGGTTTTATTTGTGTAGTTACTCGTTAGGACTCCTCAGTCCTGCGGGAGCTGTGCTGCAAAAGGGAGACTGCTGCGTGTTAGGAGGTTTCTGCACCAAAGAGTCCCGTTTTTGGAGCCGAGATTTCTGTTGACAAATTCAGAGACATTCCCCCAGCAGCTCTTGTCCTGTGCAGCCTCATCCCACGCTCTCCAGAGCCGCGGGAGCAGGATGGGGGGTCGGTGCCTCCAGGCAGAGCTCCATCCCAAACGTGTGAGTGGTTTTTAGGGATAACGAGAGAAACTGAAAACCAAACCTTTGTACATATTTACACAGACACATCTATAATGTGTATGTTTATGCACACACAGCTTTGCATCTCAGCTCCTCTCTGTTTCTGAAAACTATTTGATTTTCGAGTCTGTTTATACACACACACCGTGCATCAGCTCATTAAATATGAATATTCTATAAATAATAACTAAAAAATGTGAACAATTATTGAGAGCCCCCTGCCACAAACAGGTTTGTATCCCAGGCAACAGAGCAGCTCTCACTGTCCATAAAACCCTAACAAATACAAATAATTTTTGCTGGGTATTTAAAAAATGTTACTCGTTTCTCAGGAGTGTTTTTAAGTCGAACAAATACACTCTGGAACTGTGTTTTCATTAGCTTGTTCCTGAGCAGACAAATATCTCTATTTAATATCTTTTTTTTTCCTGAGAAATGGAGAGTTTTTTCTTGCATTGGTGAATGTTCAGGTGGCTCCTAAAAATTATATCAAAATTCAGGATAAACCTCAAAGCCAAATAGAAACAAAAGGTGGAAAGGTATTGAACTCACTTTCCCTTTAAAGGATTATTTTTAAATCATAGTCTTATATTTTAATATGTACTTTTCATGCATATTTTTAAAATCCAAATTGTATTAGACTTTTGTACTCAGAAAAAAAAAATAATAATCCCGTGGCCTTCTATGAAGATCCGTCAGCAAGGGTGGGAATAATAAGGAATTACAAGTGGGAAGAGCGTGGGTGCTCAGCTCCCATCCCTCCCATCTATTTATACCCAGAGCTTGCAGGGGTTCCTGTGCAGCCACTGCCACCCCTGACCATTGCTCTCCCAGTAAAACCAGTCCATTCCAGCTATGACCAATAAAACCAGTCCATTCCAGCTATGACCAATAAAACCAGTCCATTGCAGCTGTGACTGTTCCTCTCCCAGTAAAACCAGTCCATTGCAGCCGTGACTGTTCCTCTCCCACTAAAACCAGTCCATTCCAACTGTGACTGTTCCTCTCCCAGTAAACCCAGTCCATTGCAGCCGTGACTGTTCCTTTCCCAGTAAACCCAGTCCATTGCAGCCATGATTGTTGTTCTCCCAGTAAAACCAGTCCATTTCCCTTTCAGATGAGCCCTCCATGTCAGAAATGAGCCATTCCAATGGGATTTACAGCAATCTCAACGAGGCGTCCCCTGCGCTGGGGAGACAGGCTGGGACCAACGGGAGCTTTGCCCTGGATCCCAGCGGGATCCCAGCCCAGGACCAGTACCACGACCTGCGCTCCAACAGCCCCTACGGGATCCCCCAGTCTCCAGCCTCTTTGCAAGCACTGCCAGGCCACCAGCCTTTAATCTCCAGCTTGGTTTACCCAGACAACGGCTTGGGCCTCATGGGACAAAGCGGACAAGGGGTGCCCCAGCCCATGAGGGTCCTGGCCGGGAATGGCCCCAGCTCCGACCTCTCCACCGGCAGCAGCGGGGGGTACCCAGATTTCCCTGCCAGCCCGGCCTCCTGGCTGGATGAAGTCGACCACGCTCAGTTTTGATACAGGATCCACCACCGTGCAGTGGGAAGGGAAAGGACTCGGTGCTGTTGAACCCTTGGAATGACAGAGGGACGAGCCGTGGCTGCCGAGCGGGGCAGGAACGTGTGAGGACACGGACGGGATTTTGGAGGGGACCCGGCCTGGTGGCACCACAGCAAGTGGCATCCTGAGTGTCCAAACAAACTGCTTCTCGTGTCTTTACTAAAACACCAAGACTTGTGCTTTACAGATTTGATATGAGGTATTTTGCTCTCTGTTGTCAGTGCATTCTCCAAAGCAAGGACTTGCTTCATCGCCCACCCACACTGAGACATTTTTAAGGGAAAATAAAAGTCCTCATCCACGGTGAAAGGTGTGACAGTGTCTATATTTCTATAGGAGAACTGTTCATAGTGAATCACTTCAGAAATCCATGGTAGGAAACTTCTCTGTTCTTCCAGCAGATTTTTTAAAAGCGCACCGGTGGCGGTATGTTTTGTTTTATTTTGGATTTACATTCACTTTTCTAAAATGAAATGCTCTTTGACATGCCAATCATTTACCAACGTTTTCCTTTGTAAAATGAAAATCATATGTTAATTCTGCTTCTCCTCTTTTTAATTTGTAGATTGCTAGTTTGACTCTTCCATATAAGCATTAAACCGTGAATAGATGTATTTATTACCAAATAATTCCACGTTTATCACGGGGTCAAGAGGTGAATTTTTCTTGACCCAGGAACACTAATGGCTCTGGGTTGTGGGTCTTATGCTTTTCCTTCACATTTCTTTGCAACAGTTTAACTGCAAAATGTCTCAAAAAATCACCCTGATGTCTTGTTGCCAAATACCTTCTCGGGGGGTCTCTCAGCAGGAGGGTTTGGCTGGTTTAGTTCCTGCCATTCCCGAGGCACCACTGGGAGTGTCGGAGCGAGCACAGGCTTTCCTGGGAACACACCTCTGTTCCAGGCATTTGTGTATTTCCATGGATATGGTGCGAGCTGATTGTGAGGAAAGGCAAGACAATATGTATATTGTTATCTGTAAAAAATATGGAATTAACTGTAGATTATGTGAATGTCCAGTGTCTTTTATTTATATTCTCGCTTTCTCTCTGATGATCAAATACTTCAAGGTTACAAATAAATTTGTCAGCTAAACTTTAAACAGTCTTTTGCTAAATTCACATTAAAAGCATCAACATAAGTTAATAAAACACGTTAATCTAAGAGTAAAAGCTCTTAAACCTCGATGCCATGATCCAACAAAGCGTTGAAATGTGCTTTCAATATCTCCAATATTTTAATGTTGAAATATTCCTTTCAATAGAGGAGCAAACCCACCGAGGTGGAAATGCTTTGGAAGAAAAAAATGACAGTTTTTAGAGGCTGGCAATCCTTGGTCGATCCAAATGGGATTGCTCTGGGCACACACAGACTTTGATCATGGTCTGGCTGTTTTTGATGGGTCCTGGCTATTTTTTAGCATTTATCCCAAAGGTGGAAGCAGAAATCTGGGCTGATAAAGCAATAGCAAATGCAGTCTGATGTTGTCTGTCTGCGAGCAGAAAGTCGGGAACATGAAACACAGAGTCAGATATTGGAATATTTCAAAGAGAAATCTGAAAGAAAAGGAAAAAAATCCTCGAGGGATTAAGTTTGATGAGCATGTACATATATTTGTTTGGTTTATACATCTCTATATACAAACACACACATATATCAGATGTGCACATCTCATACACAAACATCTGTGGTCACGGTCCTCGGAGCAGAGGGAAGTGCTGAGGCCTCTGGCTCAAGGATTTGATGACAGACCCTTTATAAAGCTCAGGGGCTTTGATGTTCCTGCTCCCTGGGAAGTCAGGGAATGTTTGCTTGGGGGTTTTCCATGTGCACAGGAGAAGAGCAGCACCCCTGGGCAGTGAGGAACACCCGGGCCATGCTCTGGTACCCAGGGCAGAGCTGAGCTGCCCAGCTTGTGGAGACACCTGGAATATCTTGGATTTGATTCCCCACCTTTCCTAAAGGTGAGGGGAGGGTCGTGGCCCCCATCTCTTGCTGTTTGGCAGCTGGGGGGGCTGTGCTGAGCACAACCCACAGCCACCATTCCCTCCTTCCCGGGCCTTTGCTCGGCAGGGGTGGAACACTGATGTCCCACACACTGGGAAAACCCCCCTGTGTGACACCATGGGTGTAAAGAACACCCCACCAGCTTGGATCTGGGGGTGACACGTGGAATTCTGCTCATGTCTCTGCTCCTGGGGGATTTTGGAGATGGGTGAAGCTGTGTCTCCTCCAGCCAAGGCAGGAATTTGCCTTGTTTAGGTGAGTCTGAGCCCAGCAGTTTTTCCTTCCTTCTCCAGGACTGAGTAATAAAGAGACAACTGTTGCTGCCAGCCTGTAGGTACGTCACAAGGACATTTCTCATGGAAATTTGTGGAGTAAATAGAAAACTGTGGGACTTAAAAAATCAGATTGCAGAACTTCACCTAAAGAGAAAACAGGAATTTGTGCTTTCAAGATTTACATGTCTAGAAACACCCTCACTAAAACTGGGCAAGTGTTTTGTATCAAAACACTTTGGTGGTTCAAGTATTAATAATATCTTCCTATAGAAGACTACGAAAAGACTTTGAGACATGTTTATTTCCTAAAAATAAGGAAATAAGAACAGAAAGACAGAAATTTTGGGATAATGCTGTTATAAAACCAGTCTAAAAACTGTAGTACTTGAACATGCAGTTTATAGATATTTTTCTCATCGTCTCCCTCCCTGCAAATAACGGACACTGCTGTTCCTCTCCCCTGGGAATTCCCAGGGGATGGCTGAATTTAAGAAAGGGAGAAATGCAAATCTGCCCCTCTGCCTTTGTGCTTTGCTCTCAGAGGCAGAACGGGCTGCAAGTTGAAGTTGCTGGTGTTTGTTCTCGTCTGAACACAGAGAGGAGCTTCCCGAGCGTCCTGATCTCAAATTCAGGGATTGCATTTCAGCCTCTCCTTTCAGGGCTGAGGCTCAAGGATTCCATTAATATAAATGCTTTCTTCCCGTTAAAAAGAAAACCAATTTGAAAGAAGCAAATAAAACTAACGCTGTCCAAGTGACTGACAGCTTGTAAAACCCAAACAGAATTAGGAAGGGGGGTTTTGCACTGCTCAGTTTGCAGGTGAGCTTTACAACCTCTGCTGATTTCCGTGAGTGCAAGACACGGGAGGCAGGAAATTTTTTGTGTCCTCAGTGAGGAAAATCTACTGTATTAATTTTTTATTTTTTTTTCCAGACAGCAAATTCACCTTTGTGCCCAAACCTGTGTTCCCTACAGAAATTATTAGATTTTATGTCAAGCAGTAGAATGTGGGCCAGGTGAAATCCCTCATCCATGGGGAGCAGGGAAGGTGGATGGGGCCAGTTCATCCTCAAGTTCCCCTCCAGTGGCTTATCCCAGATGCATCAGAGCATCCGAGCAAAGGTATTCCCACCACCCCTCGTGTCTGACCTCGCCTCCCTCTGCCCACACCACGGTCCTTGGGAACAAGGTAGGAAAGCCCAGAGACCCTCCTCCTGCAGCACAGGCAGAGCTGCTGGCTGGGATGAAGGAGGGATTCCAAGAGATTTGGACTCAGTAAATACTCCAGCAAAGATGCTGCCTGTTAACAGGCAGCTTAAGCCACCAGCAGCCCAGAGTTCAGCCAAAAACAAACCCCACACCTTTTTTTAGCTCCCTGGTGATTTTTCCACGGAGGTCTGAAGAGCATCCCTGTCTCTGCAGGGAGGGGCAGAGCCTCTTGCCGCCAGTATCTGGCTGGACAAATGTCCTGCATCCCACTCCCACCCAGGCACTGGCCTCTCCCAGAGAGGAAAGTCTCCGAGTCAGCTGGAGGCGAGTAAATCACTCCTGACAGCTACATCTCTACAGGGCAGTTAGAATTAATGTAACAATTTGGCGTTTAATGAAGCAACAACATGCTGGGCTGCAGAGAATGGCTGGGACCTGCTGCAGTCACATTATAATCCCTCCGGGACCCAAACGGCAGCGACTCCATCAGATGCCGACTTGTTAAGCCGAGCAAAGGGCCGGGTGGGGAGAGCGGAGCCGGGAGCGCCTCCAGCTGGGAATCAGCCAGCGTCGGGCAGCTGAGCGCGGCTCAGGGGACAGACCCGCGGCTCCGAGCCCCAACCCCTGTGGCCTCGTGCTCCGGGATGGGAATCTGAACAGCAGGAGCAGCCCAGGGGATCGCCGGGCGCTGCCTGGGGCTGCCGAGGGTCTCGGCCCGAGCAGGTCGTAGAGATGCTGAATGATGTTGTCGGTGTCAAAAAAATATCGTGTGGGGCTTGTCAGAAGAGGAGTGGAATAAATCAGCGCTGCGCAGGGTGGGACTGGCAGGACAATATGTTTTCTAAATAAAAACCAGCTCCATCAGGTGCTCTGCACCCAAAAGTCTGATTTCTGCAGGCTGTAGGTATTCCAGCATCTCCGGGATAAGACCTTTTAAAAACACTGCGTGGAGGAGGGAGGGAAGGGAACGAATGCAAATGACTTTGGAGACAATCTCCCGTTCCCCATGTATATACATACCCACTCAAAGCACTGCAGCAGCTTGGAGGCTTTAAAATAAATCATGCAGTGCTTTTCTTTCTTTTTTTTTTTTTAAATGAAAGCACAGCACAAAACAACATCCCCTCACTTCCCGAGGCAGCCGTGCTGGATCTCCTCTCCGGGGCTGGCTGGGGTGTGTGTGTGTGTGTGGCCATAAAGCTCCACACGTTCTGTTGTGAAGCCTCATGGTCACCGGCTTTAAGGGCTTGACAGGTTTATAAAGTGCTGAGTGTCCCCGGGGGACGTTGGCACTGTTTGCAGGGAAGATGAAGCGTGCCACATCCAGCTGGTCTAACCAGGCAGCGGGAAATCTAAATTAATTCAGGAATCACTGCTGTTTTTCCGAGGGAGGATGTTGTGCTCAAGCTACGGGAATAGCACACTGGAATATTTATTAACGGAGGGATGGGGGGCAAGGGCAGGCTCCCCTCTCTCGTGGTGGTGTAAATCAGGGCAGGGAACAGAAGTGCAAAGAGTGGCCCCAGGGCTGTGCCCCTGCAGAGACTGGGGTTCCTTCCACACAGACACCCCCACAGGGCAGGACAGGGTTTGGGGGGGAAGGTTTATTCCCCTTGAAACAGCTGATCTACTCCAACATGCCTGGAAAGAGGGATGGGCCTCATCCAGGCCCACCTGGGCTCTGCAGGTGAGGCCAGAGGGAAGTTATTTAATGGCTCCTGGCTCCCCTTATCCAGGTCTGCATCCTTGCTGATTCCTGGCTTCCCTCAAGCACTGTGGGATCACTCTCTATTCACCATGTGGGACCTGGGATTGAGCCTTCCCTTTGGACTGAAGGTCAGTTCTCTGGGCTGGGTTTGGGAGAGGTTGTTGCAAATTCATGGGA